ACTGAGCTTGCTCATCCTTAATGAGGTTTTCAGGATAACAGTACACATACTAGAAGGTGACCAATTATATAAAGGTTACCAATTGAAACTAAAAGTTCACGTTTGGAAGGAAAACACAAAACAAAACAAACACATCCAGCAAGCAATGTATGTACGGATTCAATTTCCTTCTGAGAAACTACAACAAAAGTAAAATCTGAAAGTACTTTTGACATTAAAATACTGACAAAAGAAATGATCTTGAAATTAAAACAATTACACATACATGAGAAAAGTCTAGGACACTTTCCTAGAGAAGCGTCATTCTTGAGTGGCTCCAAAACCTGCACTTGATGTGCCAGCGCAGCACCCTATGCTGCTGGTGAACAATGACGGGGGGCTGGCACATACACATGCGCACACACATGCATACACGTGCAGACATACACACACATACATGCATACACACAGATGCACACATATACATGCATACACACATGCACACACACATATACCACATACAGATGCATGTATGTAGAGACACATACCCACACACGTATGCATATGTACACAGATGCACACATGTACACACATACAGACACGTGCACCCACAGCCTGGAAGTAACTCCACATTTGAAAGTGACAGCAATGTCTTTCCGTCTGTGTATATAATTGACGGTACATACTACATACAGTCTGCCTCTGGTTTGGGGTCACTTTAAAATGGTGCTATAATTTATCCAGTTAAAAATAGACACAAATGCCAAGAACTACAGCTAAACCAAAACAACACTCCTGTTTTGTAGGAGCTCAGGCTGGAAGCCCTTGGAACAGCTCCTTTACCCATGGCATTTGAAAGGCGGCAAAGGGAGAGGTCTGCAGGACCTGACGAGGAAGAGGACCTGACGACCACGCTCCCTCTCCACAGCCCTCCGGTCAGTTCTGAACTGTCCCTGTGCGCTGCAGGGAGAAGGCAGCCCCCTCCTGCCGGGACTGGGTGGATGAGCAAAGCGGCATTAACGGCACTCCACACAGCCCAGCTCCACAACAGCCAGGTGTGGTCTTTCCCAGCAGATGTGGGGTGTTCCTTCATTCATAAATGCCTCTTTGATGTAAAAATAGTGGCTAGAGCAAATGTTAAGCCAGGTGCCAGGACTCATGCCTACTCAGGAGCTACTCAGGAGTCTGAGATCTGAGGATCACGGTTCAAGGCCAGACCTGGCAAGAAGGTGCGTAAGATTCTAATCTACAATTAGCCAGCGAATATCTGGAAGTGGAGCTGTGGCTCAAATAGTAGAGTGCCAGCCTCAAAGGAAAAAGCTAAGGGATAGCACTGTGTTCAGGTCCTCTCCCCCGCCCCCCCCCCCCCCCACATACACAAGAGGAGTTGGAGGAGGAAGAAGAGATAAGCAGACAATAAGCAGAGTGTGAGGTGAGACCTTCATGTCTTATTTTGCTTTTTTCTGCCCTGGCCTCACGGAGGCAGGGAGGGTCCAACGCAGCTGGGATGTGACTGTGTTGGGGTCCTCATGAAAACCTCTAGCTTTGTTTTTCTTTGCTCCTCACTGAAAGTAAATCATTTCCACAGGGTGATAATGATTATGATGATCGGATCTGATTGGCTGTGAATGACATCACAGGAATATGATGGATTCCTGGTGCTCACTGAAGTCAGTGACACCTGCCTTTGATCAATACAGCCGTAGAAACCTATAGGACTGGATAGACTATCTTGCATTTGAAGATAATCTGATGCTAGAGGCCTTGAGAGCAGTAGGGGCCTTCTTTCCTCCTACCCCGCTTAGTAGAGACCCAACTTAGTAGAGAAGTTCAAGAAAAATCAATCCGCCCCTTCCACACCATCAGAGAATAAACAAACACAGCATGCTGAATGGATTAGGGAGACATGATTGCATTTTTCTTCACAAATAAGACAAGCTCTCTCTTCTCTCTCCCCTCCCCCCATCTCTCTTCCCTTTCCCTCCTGTCGCCCCAGTGGTGATGATGCTACCTGGTGCGTTTCAACGTACCAGACACTCTCCATGGAATGATGACAAGACCCCTCGGTCTCCTGGCTCTCCTTTCCTTCAGTTCTGCACAGAGCTGTGTTCTCACTGCACCTTGTGTGGACAATGTCTCGCAAAGGCAGAGAGCATGTCAGGTGTTGCTAGTAAAAGGACTGCTTAATTACTATCATGGAAACTCTGAAGTTTTGCCAGAATTCTATGGAAAATTCCAAAGGTTCTGTCTACACAAGAGTCACTCCTAAGCTTTCTGTCTTTGAGGTAGCAATTGCTATAGAGCTATTATTTTTCTAATATGGAATTCTCAAATGAAATATGAAATCTTAAACTTGCATATCAGAAAGAAGAGCATTTGAGAGCTTTGTAAGTCAGGGTGGACTTGAACTCACAGTCCTCCTGCCTCAGCCTCCTCAGTGCTGGGACAAATGTGTGTACCACCCAGGCTCCGTCAGAGTCACAGACTTGTGAAAATGTCTTCAAGGACAAGGGTCTGGGCTTCAATGGCATTTTATAAATAGCAAGTAATAATAAGAAATCAATTTGGAGTTCTGTTTCAAACTTCAACCATGTGGTTAAAAGACAAACACGGTAAGCCGTGTGCCAGATACAATGGCACACAATCTGGAAGGAAGATGACCAACAGTCACTTCCCGTGGCAGACAACCTGCAGAGCATGTGCATGTGTGCACACAGGGTGTGTGTGCACACCTGCTGGGGATCAGACCTGAGGCATGTGTGCACACAGGGTGTGTGTGCACACCTGCTGGGGACCAGACCTGAGGCATGTGTGCACACAGGGTGTGTGTGCACACCTGCTGGGGACCAGACCTGAGGCATGTGTGCACACAGGGTGCGTGTGCACGCCTGCTGGGGACCAGACCTGAGGCATGTGTGCACACAGGGTGCGTGTGCACGCCTGCTGGGGACCAGACCTGAGGCATGTGTGTACACAGGGTGCGTGTGCACACCTGCTGGGGACCAGACCTGAGGCATGTGTGCACACAGGGTGCGTGTGCACGCCTGCTGGGGACCAGACCTGAGGCATGTGTGCACACAGGGTGCGTGTGCACGCCTGCTGGGGACCAGACCTGAGGCATGTGTGCACACAGGGTGCGTGTGCACGCCTGCTGGGGACCTGACCTGAGGCATGTGTGCACACAGGGTGCGTGTGCACACCTGCTGGGGACCAGACCTGAGGCATGTGTGTACACAGGGTGCGTGTGCACGCCTGCTGGGGACCAGACCTGAGGCATGTGTGCACACAGGGTGCGTGTGCACGCCTGCTGGGGACCAGACCTGAGGCATGTGTGTACACAGGGTGCGTGTGCACGCCTGCTGGGGACCAGACCTGAGGCATGTGTGCACACAGGGTGCGTGTGCACGCCTGCTGGGGACCAGACCTGAGGCATGTGTGCACACAGGGTGCGTGTGCACGCCTGCTGGGGACCAGACCTGAGGCATGTGTGCACACAGGGTGCGTGTGCACGCCTGCTGGGGACCTGACCTGAGGCATGTGTGTACACAGGGTGCGTGTGCACACCTGCTGGGGACCAGACCTGAGGCATGTATGCACACAGGGTGCGTGTGCACGCCTGCTGGGGACCAGACCTGAGGCATGTGTGCACACAGGGTGCGTGTGCACACCTGCTGGGGACCTGACCTGAGGCATGTGTGCACACAGGGTGCGTGTGCACGCCTGCTGGGGACCAGACCTGAGGCATGTGTGCACGCAGGGTGCGTGTGCACGCCTGCTGGGGACCTGACCTGAGGCATGTGTGCACGCAGGGTGCGTGTGCACACCTGCTGGGGACCAGACCTGAGGCATGTGTGTACACAGGGTGCGTGTGCACGCCTGCTGGGGACCTGACCTGAGGCATGTGTGTACACAGGGTGCGTGTGCACGCCTGCTGGGGACCAGACCTGAGGCATGTGTGTACACAGGGTGCGTGTGCACGCCTGCTGGGGACCTGACCTGAGGCATGTGTGTACACAGGGTGCGTGTGCACACCTGCTGGGGACCAGACCTGAGGCATGTGTGCACACAGGGTGCGTGTGCACGCCTGCTGGGGGCCAGACCTGAGGCATCACACAGGCCAAGTACACACCCTTCTGCTGAGCTCAACTTTTAACTTAACGTGTAGTTTTGCAAAGTGCTTTCACTTGGTCTTGGTTTATTCTCTGTGTGCTAACGGGGTACTACAACTGTACTTTCCTTCGCGGAGATTTATCCACGGCCAGACAGCGAATGCATGGCTCTCAGGGACCCGTGACCAGGGATGTGTCTACTTCTGCCCCGACTTCTGCTCTCTCATCATACGGAGGCCACCAAGTTAACCTAATGCGCCAGCCACTGAGTGTCCCGAGGCTATCAAGTGACAGAGGAGCCTACATCACCCAATCAAAATAACTTATTCCTCATCCTGAGGCAAGAGCCCAAGATCTTGTTGAAACCAGGATTATAACATGGAGTGACACAATGAATTTTTCAAATGAAAAGGTCTGCAGAAAATTAAAGGATAAGAAGACTTCTGTCAGAGAAAGAACCAGCAAAGACAATAATGCACCATTAAAGAAACTCCTGGGAGCCGAGTATGTGGTGGTCAAGGGCAGCTCTGGTCATCACCAGTGCCATCAGCAACTCCTGGGCATCAGCCTCACACTCGCCTGGATGCCACTCCAGCCTCCAGGACCGCCTGGCAGCATCCGGGTCTCCCCACAGGAAGACACACCACCACGCCCCTGCCCTGCAGGCTCAGAACTGCCCATGCCTTGACAGACCCGCACACTTATGCAGACACAACATCGCTGGGAAAGCTTCATACCATGCTTCCCAGTATCTTTTCTGCACTCCTCTCTGCCACACTGCCTAGTACTCTCTGCTTTACTGCCTGCAGTCTTTCTCTCTCTACAACTTATTAGGCATTGGCCACCACCTTTGCAGACCAACTAGAAACTTCTCTTAATAAAGCCAGTCCGTGAAGATGAAGAGTTGCCTACCCTGAATGTCTCAAGCTGCTGATTGATGGCCTCTGTTTCCATGCCAACAGGACCCTGGGATTCCTCGCTCTCCTCTGCCTTCCGAAGCTGGTCAGAGAAGTCTCTCAGCTTGCTGTAGAACTGGCCCAGACGCTCGGTGGTCCCCGCCACCTGCTCCCCGCGGGCCTGCGCGCGATCCAGCAGCTTGTGGCACTGCTTGCTCAAGGCCTCCAAGTCCCTTTTGATTCCCACCAGGTCCGGAGTGGGTTCCTCCGAGGCCAGCATCATCTTGCAGGTTTTATTAGCATTGTCGTTGCTCGCCATGAGGGCTTCTAGCTTCTTCAGAAAGGCTTGGATGGCCTCCTTTTGATTCTGCAGTGTGTCCATGTCTCTCCCCACGGGGGCCATACTGTCCAACTCATCATCACACTCTGCAAACTGGGAGAACATTTCTCGGATGGAATTCTGGAAGTGTCCGATGCCTTGAAGTTTGGTCTCTAGAAAGGAACACCTGTCTGCCACCTGCTGGCTCAGTGAGCTGTGCTCCTGGGCCAACGTCTCTGCCTGCAGTAAAACCTCCGCAGCACCATTTGCGTCCGTGGCCCCCACCACGAGGTCTTGGACAAGCCTTCTGGCCAGGTCCACCTGCTGCCCCACGGCCTGCAGTGACCTCTGCTGAGCCTGCAGCATGCTCAGATGCTTGCTGCTGTGAGCCTGGGGGCCTAGAGAGTCATGGACACTCAGCTGTTCCTTTGCACACTGCAGCTGCCTTTCAGCATCTCTGGAAACTTCCTGGAGCTCCTTCCACCTCTGGGCCATGTTCTCCAGGGAGGACTTCTTGTTGTGAAGCTGCTCGGTGACTAGGCGGACCTTCTGGACCACAGAGGTGCTCTCATCTTTAACAGTCTCCTTGTCCACCTCGCACACGCTGAGCAGACACTCAGCTGTGCTGCTCAAGAGCTCCACTGTACCAAAGTGCTGGTCCATTTCCTTCTGCAGAGATTTTAACTTAGCGAGAGAGTTCTCAGTGTCAGCGGGATCTAGTCGGAATGCCACTTGGTTCAGACTGTGCTGGCACGCCTCGATCCAGGGCTGCAAGGTCTCCAGATGCGCTCTGTACTTGAGCGCTTTCTCCAAAGCATCCTGTAACTTGCTCTCTCTTTCCCTGGCCTGCTGCTTGAGTCCATCCCAGGCGGTTTTAATGGTGTTGAGCTGCAGCTGTAAGGATGCCTTCTCAGCTCCTTGCGTTTTCAGTAGCAGATTCTCACCTTCTGCGATGGTTTTCTCATAAACAGTCGACTGGGCAGTCAAAGTTTGGCCAAAGTCTTTCTGATCTTTAATTAAGGACTCCAGGACATCAAGTTTAGCTGATATTGGGTGAAACTTGACTTGCTCTTCTTTCTTGGTATCCAGCCAAGTCTGGAAGTCTCTGGACATTTGTTGAAATTGATGAGAGCTTGCACAGGCTGACTGAAGGTGCTGGACGTGATTCTCTGAAATGGAGGAAAGTATAGATATGTTTGTTTTACATTAAGATGGAAATGCAATCTATAACAAGACAATTTAAAAAAAAAATCTCCAAGTGAGGTCTGCCTCAGAATTTGGACGGGATTGTCTCAAAGTCAAGGCTTCTGGCACTGACTACATGAACTGCAAGCAAACGAGTTATGGGCAGAGAAGAAAAGCAGCCAGAGGCACACACAACAGTAAAGGACGACTGAGGCAGGAAGTGAAGGCAGACAGGAGAGGAAAACAAAGAAAACGGATAAAGATGCAGTCATACACACATGGCCTATCCCAGTGTCTTCTCTGGTCCAGAGCAGAGGAGAGAGAGTGGTAGTGTTCTAGGTCATGTTGATGAATAGCCACCTCTTATCAAATATGACTTCTGGCTTCTGTAATTCTGGCGGTACTGAGGAGGTCTGATTATGCATTTGGTCTAGCAGCTCTGAAGAGATTAGGCCAGGCACTGCCCCAACCGTTTCTGTGTGCTACCCTAAGTTGCTTCTGGGTCCAGTAATTAGTCTGAAATGATTGCTGTAGTCAATAATAACCATTAAAAAGTCCAATCAGTAAAAAATGTAAGTTGAGTATTTACTAGGCGCAAAGCCTAGAAACTTCTGTTATTTTTCAGACAGAAAAAGCACAGCAACTAATGTGTCCTCCTTCGGCAAGTCCTGCTGGCCACCCACTCCGCAGGCCTTGCTTGGCTCACGGGCTCCGCTACCTAGCAGCACTTCAGCCACAGCACTGCTGCACGGGTGAGAGGAGGACAGAGACACAGAGTGACGCTGGTGCTGGTGGTGTCCCTTCCAGCACTACAGAGACATGGGCAGGAGGGCCTGAGTTCAAGGACAGCTGATGCTACACAGTGTATTCTAAGCCAGCCTGCGCTACTTAGCAAGACCCAATCTCAGTGCCTTGCCTCTACAAAGAGAGAGAAATTCACACATTTTTCCAGAAGGTTTTTCTGTGATAGAATCAAATAGATAAGAAGATGACACAAAGTCTCAAGAACTACTTACCTATTTTTTCTGATAAAATATCAGGTAGGAAAAATATTAACTTAGAATCAGTTTGGAAGCTTGATGCTGGTGGCTCACGCCTGTAATCCTAGATACTCAGGAGGCTGAGATCTGAGGATTGAGGTTCAAAGCCAGCCTGGGCAGGAAGTTTGTGGGACTCTTATCTCCAATTAACTACCAGAAAACCAGAAGTGGAGCTAAAAGTGGTAGAGTGCTAGCCTTGAGCAAAAAGCTCAGGGACAGCATCCAGCCCTGAGCTCAAGCCCCACAACTACAAAAAAAAAATCAATTTGGAAGACCCCAAATTTTAAATCTTAACGGGCCTTCATTAGGTGGATTTTGTCAAAGGCTATCCTTCTCTGCCCTATGCAATCTGTCCTGGGCCTTCACGTGCCAGGCTCATCACAGACCTGTGCCGCCCCTCATACAGCCTCTCTTCCACCTGGTACCCCCGGGGTCCAGGGTGGTCAGGAGCTGTGCCCCATGAATGTGTAAAGAGCAGACAGACAAACCTGCTTTGTGCTCGATGTCATTGAATGACTTCACGACGCCCTCTAGCTGCCTGGTGAGCTCCGCTTTCAAGTACTCCTCTCTAACCAGTGCTGACAGGTCCTCGCTGAGTGCCCGGGCCGCTTTTATCTGCTTCCTTTCTTGCTCTATTTCCTGCTTCAGCTTTTGGGCCATTTCCAGCTGCTGGTTCACAGCGCCCGGATGGGCACTCACGGCCAGGCAGAACTGACTGTCCAGCTCGGCCAGCTTATCGGAAAGGCTTCGCAGCAGGCTCTGATACTGGGTGCTCTTCACAATGGCTTGGTCAATCCGATCACACCTGTCACTCAATTGTCCCGTCAGACCATCCCACTTCTGGGTCACAGTGGCCAGCTGCTCCTTCACCACACCATGTGAGGAGAGGTCCTCTCCAGGTCGGCTCAGGATGCCTTGCCCGGCAGCCACCAGCTGCTCATACTGAGGCCTCCGCGTGTCAAATTCTTGCAACAGGATCTAAGGAAATAAGGCAAACACGAACAAAATTATAGTATAATTTTACAAAACATGACTTTCAGCATCCAGGAGACAGAAATAGTACCTATTTAGGGGTTTTAATGTTTTTCTTTAAGTTAATACTTTCCTAACTTTAATTTAGAGAGCAGGGTAATTAGTGCTAAGTAAACTAATTCAAAGTGTTTCAAGATGACATCCTGTCTAAAATAATCACATCTGCCACTGGAAATGAAAAATAACAAGTATTCTGGGGATGCTGCTATTGGAAAGTTCATACTACACTAACGGCACATCTGCCTTTCTCTACTCGCAGGATGTATGAACTGTTCTTTAGCATCCTGCATTTAAGAAATCTTGCAGTAATAACAGTGTTAGAACACACTGCACTCATGTACTGGTTTCTAAGGTTTTTAAAAGATAAAACTTTAAAAGTGGTAGCTGGAAAACATGTCACTCAGAATGCACCAATTTAACATGACTCTCATCAAAGAATTGAGCCAAGATTTCTTTTAGTATATTTCATCTCTTTTTAAATGTTTACATCTACCTTGTATTTATCTACCTGTATCTGGTAGATTATGCTCATGAGTCAAATATTTCTCACCAGATATTTATTTTTCTCTCTTTGTTTTCATTCTCTTTAGATTATGAACAGATATGAACTAGTACATGTAACTCTAAACTCCTAGGCCTGACTCATTTTCATCAGCTGCAGAGCCTCCTTCCTTGTTCTGAGCACGCTGTTCACACTTAGTAACATCTAAAACCACAGTAGAGGCTTCTGCTGCTATACTGTGCACTGGGCTTCCACTGCACAGGGTCTGCCCTGTGGAGTCCTCTTCCACTGCACAGGGTCTGCCCTGTGGAGGTCTCTGCCCTGAATCAAAACTCCTGTGTGGTCCCCTGTCCTTTATCCTCTTTCCATTCTGGCTCCTCCACAAGTTTTACACATTTCCCTATCTACTATCACCATCAAAATGAATAAAACCTCAAAGGGGTACTTTCCAAGCAATAAAAACCATGGACTAGCTTCTCATAAAAATACTCCTAAAGGATCACATTAATACTTCAAAGATGGCCCACAATGTGAGCAACACACTGAGGCTGCTCCACACGCAGGCTCCAGGACCTTCCTCTGGGAAGCCTCATATTGCACCTCTCAGAAAGTCACAGCTTTGGGCATCCCAGGAACCATGTGTCTCAGGAAGACCAGAAGCATCCCAGGCATCCCCTAATGCCATCAGAGCCACCACCTGGTCACAGCTTGAGGATTCATAATGGCAGTGTTTACCCTGGTAAGTCTCAGCACTGCGCCCTGGTTGTTTGGATCATCCGTCAGGCACGGTTCTTGCGTGCTGTCCTTGCGTGCTCACCCGAGCCCGCTGGCTTTACACGCAGTGCTCACCTGCACCTGCTGTCTTTGCGTGCTCAGCATGTTTGGGTCAGTTGACAAGGGTCCCAGGACATTGACCATCAGCTCCTTCTCCACAAGCCACTGTTTTAACTGGGTCTCTGCAGTCTGGAATTGGGTTAGATTATTGGAGGATTCTTCCAGCTTTTGCTGTCTATCAATTGTCAACTGGTTGAGTTCTTGCCACTTGGAATCTTAAAGAAAAGGGTAACGTAACATTGGTATGTGTTTTTTTTTATACATTTAATACAACTATAGCAAAGGATCTGAATCCAACTTTAAAAGACTATGAGGCATTCGTTAAAGTAAACTAGACACTGAGATCTCTTAATTCCTTTTACAAGTCCTAGAATATCTTATTCAAATTCTACAACAATCTGATCGTTGGTTCCTGTTCTTTAGTATCAAATCTTTATCTATTTCAAAGCAACTGGCCTCCAAATCTGAATATTTATCTCAGTAATTCTCCTTCATTCAAATCATACATTGACAACCAGTTGCTTGGGCTAAGGTGTGGCTGACCTAGTAGAGAGCCTGCTTGGAAAGCAGAAGGCCCAGAGTTCAAATCCCAGTATTGTGAAAAAAAAAAATATGACTGTTGGAAAGGTAGTTGGAGATCTTGCTGATGAAGTGTCAGTCTTTGAGTTCTTTTAAAGGTTATAGCATCTCTCATGTCACTGAGATGCAGTCGTTCAAGATTCATTATTTATATAACTCTCTCAGCTCTCCTATCTACTTGATTCCAAAAACCACGATGATAATGAAACTCAGAAAAGAAAATAAGCATGGTGTTACTCAGGGCCTACTATTTTGTTAGCAGGCTCCCACCATCTCTAAAAATTCATCGCTTATTTGGCATCTCTCTAAAATGCCAATTATCAGAGCAATACAATTTGAAATATGTAAAATACAGTTTCTAAAACATTAAAGAAAAATCCTAAAATGAGTGAATCTGTTGGATATTTTCTGAGAAAGATTACACTAGTAAGGAGAGTGAAGCAGGCTCTGATCTCACCTTGGTGAGCGGCAGCACCTACCTATCTCCGTCAGCATGCGCTTCCACTTGGGGGCCTCTGGAGACTCAGGACTCTCCTCCACTAGCTCTGTCAGTCTGTCTTTCAATTCCTGAACCTTGTTTACATTTTGCTTCAGTTCTGCTTCAAATGACTAGAAAAAAAATTATCTACATTAAAGTATGCCAACACCAAAAGACCAACCAGTATGGTAGCTCACTGTTTACTAGCATAAGCAGAGAAGAGGAAATCCGTGGTTTAAGTCAAGCATGTGGGTAGAACTTATCACTTCTTCTCCCTGCATCTTCCACTCCAGGACAGAGGACCCCACACACACACAGGAAAGCTACAGCCATGGCACCATGTCTCTATCACATCGGAAGAATGACAGATTCTCACATAGGACACACTGGAAACCCTAGATGACATCAGTAAAATTGTCATCAGTCAGAAATTCAGCCTAGAAAGGCCACCCCAGTCTACGGGCAAAAAGTCACTGTTGAGGAAAGCACCTTCAGAGCTCAGGCAAAGGGCCACGATGTGTATAAAAAATTTCCATCATTACTGGCATGGAAACCTATTTTCCCAATCATAATGACTCTAAGGAAGAAAGGAAAAGCATGAGCTGCTTTCTCTAATACACTCAACCCTCAACTAAATCTTTTCCAACAGTGGGTGGACTAATACCCCAGAATGACTGATTTAAGGTGACCCAACAGTCTGTTCCTTCTCACAATGTCAGAGTGCAGAAACCGCAACTGTTACCATTCATCTCTGAGTACTGCACATTAAATAAAACTGCCAGGTTGTGTGCGGAAGGGAGGAACACAGCACAGAGCTGCGGACCCCCAGAACTTCTGGTGTCCATCACTGTCCTCCAGTCTCCCCAGGTGTGCTATAGGACCCACCTTGTTCTGCTCAACCTGAGTCTTCACACCTTCCACGTCGGTAGGTGTTGGTGTCTGGTGCCATTTTGTGGCAGTTTTATTCATTTTCTGTAACCACTGCATCATTGTGCTTGATTCTTCCTGAGCCCGTTGCAATCTGGAGAGTTTAGAGCTCAGTTCTGCCAGCCTGTCCTTGAGTAAGAGGCCAAGGTCTTCATAGCCATGGCTTATGTCAGTCATGTCCTTTTTAATGGATGTTAAAGCTAGGAGTAAGAAAAAAGTACAATGACATGATCAAGCATCTGGAGTAGAGATCTAGAAATAAAAGTTTTAAATGATTTTCCCTTGCATTTGCCATTATTGTCAACAATGAAAAACCAGAGATGGCTTAGAACCAAAAGGTTAGATGGTCCTAGTGTTATTTAGTGACAACAAATACCTCAGAGACACTTCATAACACAATTGAGATAAAAGAGGCATTTTTCATGGAATAAAATTGTCAAATGAGAAATCTATAATTCTTCAGTTACCAAACTCAATGTATTAGTGCAAACGTTATCCCAAGTGACAAAATATCTAACATTAGGCAAAAGGAAGGAAATAAAATGAAAGGCCCAACTTCATTGCTGATCTCATGAAGATATGGACAATGTTCACAGAAGATTATATAAATACCTTTATGGCCATTGTAACTATCCAATTAAAAGCCACTTTAATTCATGTGAAATTTCAATATAACTACTATTATCTCCTCAGGATTTCTCTCTCAAAAAGTAACAAGTAAAAAGTTACATTAATAAACAATCATGTAAAATTAACATTCACCTTTATTTGCCAAAAAATCTTGGGTGTTTGAATCTGTTCCTTCACCATTTAATATTAATCCACCTGTAAAAATAGTAATAGTTAAGCAATCATAGTTTCCTCTAGTATTTCTATGCATTAATAGTAGATGGTGCTGAACAAAAACTCATAGCAGTAATCATTTTTAAATGTAACTTAATTACTCAACTTCAAAAGCAAACGAAGATCCAAAATTTAAATATCAAACTGTACCCTCTTCTCTATACACTTATATATATAATATGTATATATGTGATTATGGAAAGTATATGTCTGTTGTAAAGGTATGTATTTATAGTTTTTTTCATTGTTGAGGCTGTAACCCATGGCCTTACAGACAAAGCATGCACTGTAACACTGAGCCACACCTCCAATCCTGTGTAACTTATTGTTCAGGTAGTGAAATTATCAACCACTAAAATTACAAAAATTAGTTGTTACATGTGAACTCACAAGAAGTGTGGTAAAGTTATTTTATAGCTGAAGTTACGTTCACAGTAAAACTACCAAAGTTGAGACGGTGCTCAGTATGTAACACTGCTGAGCAAGCCACGGACTGACCGGAGAGGGTCAGCCTCACATCAAGATGGAGACTGTGTGATGTGCCTTCAGTGTTTTCACAGGCTGAATGGAGGCCAAGTAATGTCAAGGATGTGACAGACAAGTGCAACGTAGAAGCAAAAGGAACGCAGCTCCCTCAGTCCAGCCAAGAGGGCGGGGGAGGTGGGGAGTGGGGGGGTGCCCTGGGACTGCCTGTGTGACTCAGCTGCTTTAATCCTAGGCCATGACCCACTGTGGGACTGGACAATCATTCAAACCAGTGCCAATCAACTCCTGACTTTTGAGACCCTGGTGGGAGGGAGCTAAAGACGCTCAGCAAACACAGAGGATGTCTAACTCTAAGCAACTGCACTCCTTTCCCACATCAGAACATTTAAAGTTCAGCTAGGCTTCCTCAGACCCACCTGGGGCCACATCCCAGGGCACATCACAAAGACATTTCTTAAATGGACGTGGGAGAACAAAACTAAACAGAAACATTGTAACAGCTGAGTCTTAAGTGATGACTCATTAAAGAAATCCCAGTGTGGCTTCAGGTGGGGCCCAGGGTCCTGTGGATGCCCCACCCCATACCTACCACAGCTGGCAGCTACCAGGAGCCAGGCATTCTTGTTTACTACAAATGTAAGAGGGGCAAAAACTACAATATGTAAAACATGACAGAATTCCTTTTCTAAAAAAAAAAAGAAATATGCCATTTCGGGAAATCTGTTTGGGAGAGAGAAAGGGAGCATCACTGCAGACTCTGGGCATTCCTTGAAATGGGGTTAACAGAGTGGAAAAAGTGGTTGGATGACAAACCCAGCTGGACCAGGGGCCCATGGTAGGACCGGCGGGCCAGAGGCCTGGTAGGAGGAGATAAACCAGAGGGAGCTCAGAGACTCTCAGAACAAAGATGGGAGCTCTGCCTTTAGTCTACACTGGTGTTTTCTGAGATCTTTATACACTATGTTTGAAACTAAAAAAACTACACCTGTGCCTTCACACTACAGTTAGTATCAATACTGCCTCCCCTGGAGCAGAGCGGGGATGCAGGCAGCCTGCTAACCTGCTATGCACTCCCTTCTTTGGGGAGAATGTGCAGGACAGAGTAAATGTGAATAAAACAAGAAAGAAGAGCCCTTTTCTTCCAAGTTCTTTTCCAGGAGACTACTACATTCATTTCTTTATCAACAACTATAATGAGAAAAGAAGTACTTCCAACAGAATTTCAAAGGTCCATTTAATAAAAAAGCCAAAAAGTATGGACACTATTTTCCATTACCACACTCCTTATTCATATTAGCATATTCATGTAGATATGTTTTATGTGTAGTATTTCATAAATGAAGCACGAAGAGGGATCTGCATTGGAGTGGGACATGCACTTTCCCTGAGGGTTTGCACTGTGTTTAGGGACACCATTTTCTCCTCACTTCCCCCGTGTTCTTGAGGCTACCGTATGCGTTGACTTGAAAACTACACAGGTAGAGAAAGCACTTACCTGGTTTAGCTGCAGCCATGGCTTTGGCTGGCGTGCTCAAGGTGCTCATGAGGTTACACAGAGAGGACCCACTACTGCTGACTTTCTGAATGTCTGTACTTTTTGAACTCCACTCTTCCTGTAATTTCTTGAAATAAGAAACGTCTTCTTAATATTCTCAGAGTTGCACATTGTAACTTAGGTTCTTAAACATATCTTGAAGTGGCAATGGCTGAGCTGTGATCTGTGGGCCCAGGCGACTGTTAGCCAGGCTAGCAGGGAGGGCGAGGGCGGGGCCCATTCTGCATTCTGCTCCCAGCTAGGCAGATGTAGGGCTCTGCCTGCAGTCATGGGTTCTGAAGTAACTGTTAACTGTAAGTTCGTAGGACCGTCCACTGGGGTGATACCTGTATGACTGTAAACTACGTCTGTCTTAAAATGAGATGTGCCCCAAACAATAAAACTAAACATGTGGAAATCAAAATTGCATAGGAAAGTTATTTATTTTTTACTGCCAGTCCTAGAGATTGAACTCAGGGTCTGGCTGATGTCCCTGAGGTGTTTTGCTCAAGGCTCTATCACTTGAGCCACAGCTCCACTTCCAAGAGTCTCACGACTGTCCTGCTTGGGCTGACTTCAAATGTCAATCCTCCGATCTCAGCCTCTTGAGAAACTAGGATTATGGGCGTGAGCCGCCAGCAACTGGCTGAAAGTGAGTTTTCATCATCCAGATTTCAATCAATTTTCAAATCCTCCAATTTTAAACATTTAGAGAGGAAAAGCTATCATAACTAGTCATAGCTTTTATAACTTGAGCATTATTTGTGCAAGAGACTCAACTTCCATCTTCAAATACCGGCTAAGGGGATAGATCCAAGCTAGAGTCAAATTCTTTGGTGAAGGGGACTTTTTACTTCCTCCTCTGAGGATTGGTATAAGAAGTGACTCAAAGTACAGATCTGGTAAGGAGGGAAACATCTAAGGCAGACCACAACTCAGTTCACATATCTACTAAAAAGTCAAATTAACTGAAAGTTTAGATCCTTCCTCAAAGGATCAATTAAATATCATAGCTTCCAAAAGTCATCAAAGCCTATAGAGAAGACCTAACTTTGTGATTCTAGATGAAAGGGAGCGACCTTGCATTATAACACAGGCAGACATAACATACAAGTCACCTGAGTTTCTTCCAGAGATCTTTCTAAATCCTTAGCACCCAGGGAAGGCTGCACTCCAGGAACTTTCTCTGTTGTTTCTTTTATCCATGACTTCAGTGTTTTAACAAGGACTTGGAAAGCTTCTAGCTGTTCTTGACAAGAAGTTAGAACTTGTTTTCTAGTTCAAAAAAAATCACACCAGAATTTAAGATGTAAAAGGAGAGGCTCTACAAAATGAATCACACAGCCCTAAGTGAACGCTGCCATGCTGGGCTTCCATTACACTAGCCTCCTTTTGGCACTCGCTGGTGGCAGTGAAGTGGGCTAGATTCCTGCCTCTTCCTTGGGTGGCACTCAGGGATAAGAGAGAAGTCAGGAAATCTGCATCCTGAGTGCAACGGCTCTCTCTGCCATGGAGACTATTTAAGGGCTATTAAGGGCTATTTAAGATTTTACCACTATTGGGTTCCATGAGCCTTGATGTATTCACTTCATCTGGTGCTTACTGCCCACAGGCAAACCAGAAGAGAAAATGTACATACTTCCCACACATACGGCCACCTACTGGTTTCTATATGATACTACAGTCAATGGATGTGCCAACTTTTGGCTTTGGTGAGCTGAAGGCAATGAAGCCTGGTGACTGGAGGGAATCGCACTTTTAAGGGTGCCTCTGCCACAGAGACTCAGGGCCCGGAGTGACCTATGTGGATCTCTCTGCACACTCAGCACCTTCAGAGCCCACGGGAACTGGGAGGATGGGACTCCAGCATGTGGACGATGCACGCATGTGTGCAGCTTGCAGAACTCTGGAGATGAGAATGCACCGCAGCAGGGTTGATCACCGGTGACTACTTGGTTTTAAAAGTAGACACAATCAAAAGAATAAACAACCCAGAGATTCCCTAAGAAAACTAGTTCTTCCATGCAAGGTGAATTATCACATGACAGCTTCACATGCAGTAGTATCAACAACGCCTACAACATTACATGGAGAACTGGAAGAAATAAAGGGAAGAGAGATGGCAAACTCCTATTTTGGGGAGCCCTGCATATTAAATTCAGCAAAATCAGATGTAAATTCTCAACTGGACATTCGAAAAGGCAAGTTCAGAGCCAGCCTTCTCCTGCACTGCAATTAGTTCATGGCAGGGCCACCGTCTTGAGTCTTAGCTCGATCTGTAGTGGACTCATGCATGGCTCATCTTTAAGCAATATAATGTTCTAGATTAAAAGGCCACCAAGAACTATATTGAAACTGTGCATAGCTTCTGAACTGAAGCCAGAAAGTATAGAACTTTTGTCTTTGCAAATAAAAAGGTGAGATTTGCAAGGGTTGGGAAGATACCAGTCATTTTCAGTCATACACCACCACCATTTTTCTTGCATAATGCTCACTACTTTTATGGAAGAAACATTGAGTCTTTCTCCTAAATAGTTGAACAAATAACATACATGGTCTGGAGAACAATAAAAATGCAGCAACACACAAATAGCTCTATACTTGTTCTCAAGTGTTCAAAACTGTTTCCATTTTCAACCTTACTAAAAAAAAAAAAAAAAGCAGCTCACCTGAATCAAGAAAAAGGAAACAGAGTTTTAAGTTGAACTTACTTTTCTTTGATGATATCTTCCATTTCTTTGAATTTCTTGGACAAGTTATTTGTCTTTTCAAAAACGAGCGCTTTATCTCCCGGTAAGCCATGGCTGCATATCTCCTTCAGGAGACCATGCAGAGCTTCAAGATCCTTCTTGCGTTCTAAGAGTTCAGAAGTTGATTCCTATGAAGCATTTAGATAGTTAGTCATCTAGATCTTCAAGCAGCTCTCCACCCTAGGGTGTGCTGGGACCAGAATGGTTCCACTCAGAATTTCACAAGAGAATGCATCAATTCATGTTCAGAATATTAATGCTTTAAACATATCATGAAAAAGAACACAGTAAACTATTTTAAAGTTTCTGAAGTATTTGTTCTCTACACTTCCTGTCTCTGTGGTTTCTGGCATTTAAGATGTCCATATCCTTTATATCTTGAGTGATAAATGGCATTCCACTTGAGGACAGAATCAGCAGATGTTTTTAGCAGAAAGGTTTGAGGGATTTTTGCAGTTCTGTGGCTTGAACAGGGTCACACACTTGACAGGCAAGCTCTACCACTTGAGTTATATTCCTAGACTCTTGGTTTTTGTCTTTGAGATAGGTTCTTATAACCTTGCCTGGACTGGTCTTGAACTCACAACCCTCCTGCCTTAGCTTCCCAAGCCAATGGCATTATACATATTTTTTTAAAGAAGAAACTAGCCATCTTTACTAATCCATAACCAATTCAAATGGAAATTGGTAAATAATCCTGCCAATAAATGCATCTGTTTGGCACCTCACAGGCACCAAGAGGACTTACCTGCATGTGCTGAGACAGCTCTGAAACATCTTTCCCTGGCACATCTACCTCACTGAGGGCCTGAGCTTTTGTTTCTAGGAATGTTTGGAGCTTCTCTGAGAGGTTCTCGAACAGTTCTACTTTGGTTTTCAACTCCTCCATTTTGGCGAGTCTTTCTTGGTGCTTATGCCTGGCTTCTGAAAACCTGGCAGATAGGTCCTTCATTTTTGCCTGCAGTGAGGAAGCAGTGGAGGGATCTGTGGTCTCCATGAACGTCTTCACCTTCTCACTCATGGCATTCACACTGCTCTGACGCCCTGCCATGTCCTGCTCCAGCATCTGAAATAAACCAGATATTGGGAATGCTTTGTGATGATGGTTACTAAGGCCAAGCATGAAGCCTTTAAAGTGACCACTTGTAATGACATCAGCTTGGACAGACAGTGACTGAGACATGAATGGACAGAATGGAACGACAGGTCTGGTCTGTCCCTGGGGAATCGCAGCCCTCCATCTTCACAGGAACATGGAGGTCAGGTGGCTGGCATGAGGAAGAGTGAAGAGCTGCTCTGTGAGCCTAGGGGTAGCCATGCTCCTTGGTTTCAGAAGGCCAGACAAGACTGATCTGACAAGCCTCACGAGTAGTGAACAGAGGCAGGGAAACACCAGGTACAATTCAATTCTTTCTAAGCCCTCAGTAAGAAATAATCTGAGCCTCACATGTAGTGAACAGAGGCAGTGAAACACCAGGTACAATTCAATTCTTTCTAAGCCCTCATTTGTAAGAAATAATATTCATGAAAAATAGCCAAATTCTTTGATCAGCTCTATCACAGAGAAATAATTCATTTTATACAATTGAGCTCATGTACATATTACATTTCACCCTGTTACACGTCGGTAACATCGGCCCACCCTTTGAGACAGATGACTGTTTTTGTAAAACGGTAAGTGGGAGTCACTGTCTTTTAAAATGTCACTCACGATGTTCTTAGTGATGAGCTCCTGGAGGGCTGCGGCGTTCAAGGGCGCCGGGCCCGGGTCGGCCAGTGACCTCTCCACGCTTCCCATCCAGTCCAGCATCTCATCGAGACCGTCCTGCACACTCAGCGAGCGCGTCAGCGTGATCTGCAGTCTTTCGTTTCGCTCGTTCACAGACCTGGACAGATCGTCATATCTCCCGACGATGTCGTCTAGTTCAGACAGAGCAGGAAACATCAGCCACACGGGCATCCCACCCATTCCCTTCCAAGCACACCAAGGGAGTGAGGAAATTTCCATGCATAAATTAGAAAAGGAAAACCGGGTTAAGTGGTAAATTCATAATACACACCAATCATCCAAAACCTTACAAAATAAAAAATGAAAATAATCTAATAGGAACCAAAAAGCTGAAATTTTAAAATGCAAGTCAATGTGCACACGTACACATATTTTTGTAAAGAGATTTTAGATGCTTAAACATTTAGGTTATTCCACAGATGAAGTAGTCCAAACAGAAAACTTCCGGAATAAATAGTAGGTCTCAATATGGTATTTTGAACTAGAAATACTTATTATTAAGTATTTATGGGAAAAAGTGGTAGTCATATGCAACGATTCTCAAGACAACATACAAGTCTAAAGATTTATTAACTTGCCTTTATGTATAAATGTCACACACATTCACTAAGCTTTTGTTACCCTTTCTAACCAAAGAAAGTACTCAAGTTCACAGAAACTGACAACGCAAAAGAATTAAGAAACCAGGTGGACCATGAAAATCTACTTCAAACTAAGATTATGCTTCTAAAATGGACAGAAACAGAATTTACTTCAAAGTCTGACTGACTTAACAGCCTAGCCTATCTCCTGAGATTAACTTCATTTTGAGTTCTAATGAGTTAATAAAAATAAGTAACCAATCAACAACAGCAAAACAAAAGCTGAACAAGGAGCCAAATGACCCCACAGGTTGAGCTCCACACTCTGACAGGCGCAGCTGTGGGCCAGCTGCCTACAACAGAGGTGTCACCTGCCACACAGTCTCACGGCACCCCCGAGTTCTGCGCTGCTGTGCCGTATCATTAGAACAGACATGATGTGACCACAGATTAGGACACACATGTAAATTAAAAATACATGCACATTGGGCTGGGAAGGTGACTCAGTGGTAGAGTGCTTGCCTTGCATGCATGAGGCCCTGGGTTCGATTCCTTAGCACCACATAACCAAAAAAAGCCAGAAGTGGTGTTGTGGCTCAAGTGGTAGAGCGCTAGCCTTGAGCTGAAGAGCTGAGGGACAGCGCCCAGGCCCAGAGTTCAGGCCCCACAACCAACCGGAAAAAAAAAAAAAATACATGCACATTTACAGAACAGCTGAAATTATTTCCTGATAGCACACATGATGTAAAAAGCCTAGATGTCTATAAGAATGGAAGTGTCCCTATTGCAGAATGGGAGCAGCTTGAGTACAGTTCCCTCCCATGTCCACCAACTCTCCACTCAGACCTGAACTCACTGCTAATCTGCAGTGGTGCATACATCTGATATCACACACTCCCACATTCCAGCACAAGAGCACAAATAACAGAGTGTGTACTTCTGAACATGTCTCCATATTAGAATTTGTCTGTCTTACAGAAAGCAAAGGAACGTGGAGCCTTACCCAATGTTCTCTGGATGTCGTTCCTGGCTGGAAGCAAGACCCCTCCGGCGTCGAGAAGCATGTCAGCAGTCTTCTTCAGCTTCTCTACTGCTACCTGCTGACTGGAGATCTGTCCTTGCAGAGCCTGTGGGATTCAATGCTTCAAGGTCAGACTCAGGGGGACTCAATATCAGATTTCCAGTCAGAAAAATGACTTACAGTACACTCAAGTTAGCTTGTACAGAGCAGACTTTATACTGCACAAGCTTTCCTCATGATACATTGACTCTGGAGTTGTTAGACTAAAGTCATATAATGCAGCACCAGCAGGCTGAGTGACCACTCTCAAAACAGACTGCAGAGTACATGTTCAAAACAACTTCTCCCCCAACACCCACTTTTAAGTTTTCTTTGTACTACGCCACCACCACCACCAAAACAAAACAAAGCAAAATGAAACCAAGCATATCAAACATCTTTGGGATGGATCTGCACTCTGGGCAGGAGCTCATGAAGGCCTCTCATACCACTGGGTTCCAATTTAAAACAGAGTCATAGGTACTTCTGTTATTTCAGAAGAAGTTACTGACTGTGTAAATCAGGAGCATATACACAGCAATCTCTGGTCTAAGGCAGGAGGTGACAATGCCAAAGATGAGAGGGCAGAGTATTCCTGGCAGCTGAGAGGGAGAGTGATGGGGGAGGGGGAGCAGAGGGGAGGACGGGATAGAAAGAACAAGAGGGAGAAGGGAGAGGAGACAGTGCGTAGGTCCGGAGTTCAAGCCCTAGGACCGGCAAAAAAAGCAAGGGGCGGGGGTGGCTAACAGAGAAAGAAGAGCATGTCCTTGCTGCATGGAGGCCCTGCAGGTCTGGAGCACAGGCAGTTCCCAGGGAGGATGGGGAGACACGGGGGAGGGAGCCCCAGAGGACCCTATGCTCCTAGCGCCCGCCTCGGCTGGTGGGCTCACAGGCAGCCATCCTGAGAGGAACAGGGCCTCCCTCCAGAGCCACCCTTGGAGCTCAAAGTCCCACTGTGAATGAGTCAGATGGCTGTGCGCCCAGGTTTCCCATTGTTTCCTGAATGTTTCCACCTGGGTGTAAACAGTAAACCTTAAAACTCAAGAAAGCTAAACATAATCTCCATCCCTTCTCCATGCCTCCTCCTCCAGGGAGACGGACACAGAGGACTTCCAAGTCTAAACCAGATTCCCCTTTCAACCCTTCCTTTCCACATGCAAAGCAACCATTTAGTCAGGACAGTCTACCTGCTTAACCCTGTGGTGTTTCCAAAGTCAGACCTGGCTCAACTTCTGGATCTCTACAGGACAGCCCCTCCTGTGGATACTAAGGAAGAGTCCTAGCTCCCCCCCCCCCCACCCCCCCGTCTTCTATGGTTTCCTTAACCTCTCAGTCCCTTCCTCAGTCAACATCTCTCCAAAGATCCCCTCTTAATGAAGGCTGGAGCACGTAGAAAGGCCCAGGGAGAGACCCCCCCCACCTTCTTCTATCTTCAGTCTTACCTTTCTCCACTCCCTGTTCTAGAAATGCCAGCCGACTTACTCAAAAACCACTGACTATATGGACTGGTAGCTCCAACCTGTAATCCTGCCTACTGGAGACAGGGCTGGGAGGATCATGGTTTGAAGCTGTCCTGGGAAATGGACAAGACTCCATGTATCAATGGCTGGGTGGAGTGGCATGCGCCTGCCATGCCAGCAATGTGAGGAAGCATGAATAGGAGGAATGTAGTCCAGAAGGCCTGGCATAAAGGGAGACGCTATCTCAAACAACAACCAACAAAAGAGGGGCCAGCAAGAGTGGCTTGAGTGCCAGAGTGAATGTCTAGGTAGCTTGAGGCCCTAAGTTCACCCCTGGTACTATTACAAAAGAGAAAAAAAAAGATTGGTCATGTTGATTAGAAGTTTAAAATACCATGTAAGTTCAAAAACCAGAAGAAATGTTCTCTGCCACTCCCGTGATGGCTGAGACTTCCCAGCCAGGGAGCCGTGCCCTCCGGCTTCTGCTCCTAGAGGCAGCAGGTGTGCTGGAGCTGTAACTGCAGCTTGATCTGTGCATCACAGGAAGCGCACAGGGGCCCCGACCCCAACCCCCAAAGGCTGAATGTACAGTGACACACCTCCCCTTTTCTATGTCCATTCTTGTACTAATCTACTTTGGGCCAAGTAATGGTCTAGGTACTCGAAAAACAGCAATACTCAAAACAGACAAAAACACCTGCTGTGGACCTTAATTCTAACAGGGGAGGGGAAAGGACAATGACAATACTGGGAGTTAGGTAATACACCACTAAGTAAGAAAGAGTTAATGGATGTGAGGAAAGACCTCCTGAGGGAAGCAGTGTTCCCCCATGGGTAAAACTTCATGGGACTAGAGGACTGGAACACTGGATTTCTTGTTTCTCTCTCCCCTTCTTTTTTACCTTGGTCTCTTCTAGCTGCCTTTGTAGATTTTTGGGGTCCACAGCAATAGGTTCACAGAGATGTTTACTTGCGGCAGCCTCACAGGCCTGGAGCCCAGAAAGAAGTCCACAGGAAGCATCTTCGTAGTGCTGATATTTATCCACCAGGTCTTTAAGGTTATTTCCAAGGACGCTACACTAAAATGCAATAGCAAGATGGAAGGAAAGGAAATCAAAACCCACTCTTGCCTTGGGTGTCAAATAACTCTGGGACTTAGTAAAATGTGAAACTTGGAGAAAGCAGACTAACAGAAATTGGAGGGCTATAACCTTTCTCCTTTATGTGAAGAAGTCCAACTGCAACCATAAAAATGAGGAGATAGTTCTAGACAGTTCTAGAATTCACCAATTCAAAACCAAACCCAGAATCACCAGAGCATACTGACATTCAGGCACTGTCGCCAGCCTTGCCCACCTGTGCCTGCACACGTAGTGCAGAGATCTGAAAGGTGCTAGTGAACCACCTTCCGGTGCTACATACAGGCTGATCGACAGAGGGAGAGGCAATAGTTTATGCTTAAATGGCAAAAAAGGAGGAGTCAGAGGCTGGATGGGGATTAAGTCTGTGAAGCTTGAATTCCAAATAGGAAATACATCCTTATGTTCAGAGCTCTTCCTTGCTCCACAGAATTAAGAGAAGCAAAATAGTCTGTCACAATGAAAATAACATACTATCAGACATGAGAATGATCTCACAGGAAACCTCAGTTCCCAAGCCAGGAGGCTGCCAGCTCTTCTTCTGGCTTAGCATTAAGACACAAATGCCACCTGGTGGTTAAACTGGATACTGAATAGTTTTTAAGCTAAGGTTTTCCGGAAATCATTCTCAAATCAACGTTGTTAAGCTAAACATTAACAAAGATTAAATTCCTAATCTTCGAACCCAGTTTGAAGGAAATCAGAGGAAAACACTGTTTTTCACCATCTATATTTTTAGGTCTTCTGCTTCTAAGCCCAAAACAAAATTAAAATCACAGATTGACTTGTCCTTAAAAATGACCATCACATTACCTTAGTGTAGAGGGACCTGAAGCGGTCGGTGGCCTGGTCCAGCTTGCTCTGCACCTCCCTGTGGGCAGCAGAGGTGTCGATGCTGCCCTGGTCTCCCCGGCCACAGGACCTGGCAGCTTCCAAGGCCCTGTTTCCTGACATGGTGATGTACCTCAAGTCGCCTTTGTGAGCAATCACATCTTCAGAGAAACTCTTCTGCCTCTTCAGCTTGGCCATCAAACCGCTGAAGTCGTCCGCCCCAGCCTCCAGGTTCTCCAGCTCCTGTTCCGACTGCTCCAGCCAGTGTTCAAACTCACTGTGGTCCGCCTCAAACTTCTCCAGCTCTTCCTGAAGAGAGTGCGTCAGCTTCACCCTCCTCTCTGCCTCGGTCAACGCCGTCTCGTAATGAGCTTTCAGGGCTTTCATGTTTTGCTGCAGCTTCTTCCTCTCCTCAGGGGCCAGGAGATGGCCCTGCCTCTCAAGAAGTGACTGTGCAGACTGCGTGGCAATGATGACAGCTTGGTGCTGAGCCACGAGCTTCTCGTGCTGGGCCTGCATGGAGACAAAGCCACGGGGATCTCTAGAGCGGCTGGGAGGCCTCAGCCCATGGTGACTCGTGCACAGGGCTTGTTAAAACGAGCCTTAACACCCACTTTCTTAACTGCCACTTTCAAGCTATAGGAACATCCTGTGATAGCTGGACAAGAGCAATGTATATGAAAGCCTGAAAGAAGCTATGGGAACAGACTGAAGGGATGCTGAGCCTGCGTACACCCACTGCACTCTACTCCTCCATGGAGATGCTGCCTGCCCATCCCAGCAGCACTGTACATAGTCACATACGAGGAGCGCCTCCCACAGAGCTGGCCACGGGTGGGACTTCAGGTTCACTTGAACCCAGGCGGGCAGCTGTGACACGGAGCTCACAGATGCATGGATACTGAGTGTCTCATCATCAGGGCTTCGTGGACCCTTGGGGGCTGAACCTTCTCCCATGGGCCACAAGTGCAGCAAAACCACACTGTCCTGGTGATTCTGGACATCTTATCTCAGCTTACATGTAGTAACCTGACCCCCTTCCTTCCTCCAATCTGCTGGTCTGCCCCTCACCTGGGAGCTCACCTGAGGACCCTCCTCTCCTCCCCTGTGTCTGGTAACCACCCTTATATCAGATGCCACTGGGAAAAACTCCATCTCCATGAAGTCTTTGTACAAACCTCATCTCCACAGGTTCAATCCACCCTCCAGCTCTCACCACTTGATCCACAGCTCATCCACGCTCCACCCTCACCACGCCATCCACAGATCATCCACACTCCACCCTCACCACGCCATCCACAGATCATCCACCCCCCCAGCCCTCACCACGCCATCCACAGATCATCCACCCCCCCCCAGCCCTCACCACGCCATCCACAGCTCATCCACCCCCCCAGCCCTCACCACGCCATCCACAGATCATCCACCCCCCCAGCCCTCACCACGCCATCCACAGATCATCCACCCCCCCAGCCCTCACCACGCCATCCACAGATCATCCACCCCCCCAGCCCTCACCACGCCATCCACAGATCATCCACCCCCCCAGCCCTCACCACGCCATCCACAGCTCATCCACCCACCCAGCCCTCACCATGCCATCCACAGCTCATCCACCCCCCCAGCCCTCACCACGCCATCCACAGATCATCCACCCCCCCAGCCCTCACCACGCCATCCACAGCTCATCTACCCCCCAGCCCTCACCACGCCATCCACAGATCATCCACCCCCCCCAGCCCTCACCATGCCATCCACAGCTCATCCACCCCCCCAGCCCTCACCACGCCATCCACAGATCATCCACCCCCCCAGCCCTCACCACGCCATCCACAGCTCATCCACCCCCCCAGGCCTCACCACGCCATCCACAGATCATCTACCCCCCAGCCCTCACCACGCCATCCACAGATCATCCACGGAGCTCCACCCTCACCACGCCATCCACAGATCATCCACGGAGCTCCACCCTCACCACGCCATCCACAGCTCATCCACCCCCCAGCCCTCACCACGCCATCCACAGATCATCCACCCCCCCAGCCCTCACCACGCCATCCACAGCTCATCCACCCCCCCAGCCCTCACCACGCCATCCACAGCTCATCCACCCCCCCCAGCCCTCACCATGCCATCCACAGATCATCCACCCCCCCAGCCCTCACCACGCCATCCACAGATCATCCACCCCCCAGCCCTCACCACGCCATCCACAGCTCATCCACACTCCACCCTCACCACGCCATCCACAGCTCATCCACCCCCCCAGCCCTCACCATGCCATCCACAGATCATCCACCCCCCCAGCCCTCACCACGCCATCCACAGCTCATCTACCCCCCAGCCCTCACCACGCCATCCACAGATCATCCACCCCCCCAGCCCTCACCACGCCATCCACAGCTCATCCACCCCCCAGCCCTCACCACGCCATCCACAGATCATCCACCCCCCCCAGCCCTCACCACGCCATCCACAGATCATCCACCCCCCCAGCCCTCACCACGCCATCCACAGATCATCCACCCCCCCAGCCCTCACCACGCCATCCACAGCTCATCCACCCCCCCAGCCCTCACCACGCCATCCACAGATCATCCACCCCCCCCAGCCCTCACCACGCCATCCACAGATCATCCACGGAGCTCCACCCTCACCACGCCATCCACAGATCATCCACCCCCCAGCCCTCACCACGCCATCCACAGATCATCCACCCCCCCAGCCCTCACCACGCCATCCACAGCTCATCCACCCCCCCAGCCCTCACCACGCCATCCACAGCTCATCCACCCCCCCCAGCCCTCACCACGCCATCCACAGATCATCCACCCCCCCAGCCCTCACCACGCCATCCACAGATCATCCACCCCCCCAGCCCTCACCACGCCATCCACAGATCATCCACCCCCCAGCCCTCACCACGCCATCCACAGATCATCCACCCCCCCAGCCCTCACCACGCCATCCACAGATCATCCACCCCCCCAGCCCTCACCACGCCATCCACAGATCATCCACCCCCCCCCAGCCCTCACCACGCTATCCACAGATCATCCACGCTCCACCCTCACCACGCCATCCACAGATCATCCACCCCCCCAGCCCTCACCATGCCATCCACAGCTCATCCACCCCCCCAGCCCTCACCACGCCATCCACAGATCATCCACCCCCCCAGCCCTCACCACGCCATCCACAGATCATCCACCCCCCCAGCCCTCACCACGCCATCCACAGCTCATCCACCCCCCCAGCCCTCACCACGCCATCCACAGCTCATCCACACTCCACCCTCACCACGCCATCCACAGCTCATCCACCCCCCAGCCCTCACCACGCCATCCACAGATCATCCACCCCCCCAGCCCTCACCATGCCATCCACAGATCATCCACCCCCCCAGCCCTCACCACGCCATCCACAGATCATCCACCCCCCCAGCCCTCACCACGCCATCCACAGCTCATCCACCCCCCAGCCCTCACCACGCCATCCACAGATCATCCACCCCCCCAGCCCTCACCACGCCATCCACAGCTCATCCACCCCCCAGCCCTCACCACGCCATCCACAGATCATCCACCCCCCCAGCCCTCACCACGCCATCCACAGATCATCCACCCCCCCAGCCCTCACCACGCCATCCACAGCTCATCCACCCCCCCAGCCCTCACCACGCCATCCACAGCTCATCCACACTCCACCCTCACCACGCCATCCACAGCTCATCTACCCCCCCCAGCCCTCACCACGCCATCCACAGCTCATCCACCCCCCCAGCCCTCACCACGCCATCCACAGATCATCTACCCCCCCAGCCCTCACCATGCCATCCACAGATCATCCACCCCCCCAGCCCTCACCATGCCATCCACAGATCATCCACGCTCCACCCTTACCACGCCATCCACACCTCAGCCCTCACAACTCAATCCACACTCCAGCCCCCAGTGAAGAGTAACTCAGATGCGCTACTTTGGATCTGTGAGCTACAGTGGTCTTGTAAAGGGAAAAGAAAAGGACCTGGAAGGAACACTGAGAGGACATAGTAATTAAGGCAGAAAGCCAAGTGTGCCTGGCTCAACGCCATTGCTCTGCAGGTGAACAGTTGGCTCTATCACTTTCCTATAACCCTCTTCACCTGCACAGAGTGCTGAACCTAGTGATCTATCCCACACAATTAACGTGCTTAGAACACTCACATAATTTATATTAAGCATAATTATGAATCTAGGAAGTAAGAACCTCCCCTCAGAGAGCGCGCGGGCTTGGCCTGTGTAGCCATGTCTATCTTTGCAGCCCTGGAACTCGAGGTTGGCACACTTGTGTTGGATCAACTCACCTTGACCTTCTGGTACTGCTGGTCCAGAAGCTGCTCAGTGCCCACAACTTGCCGACTGGCATCGGTTCCAGGCAAGTTCCCATTGACTTCGTCCTCCTCTCCAACCTCTGACTTGCCATTGACTTCCTGAAAATGGGTCCCATTCTGCTGGATACCCTGAGTGTGTTCCTTCCCTGCCTTTTCAGAGTCCAACCAGTCCAGAAGGTTTTCGATTTTAGTTTTGTTCTCTTCTAGCTGCCTAGCAGCTGCAACCTAGGCAGAGAAGGGGAACTTACAGATGTGGGTCAGGCACAATGTTCACACATTTCTAATGTCAGGACCTCAATAGTTTTAAAATATAAAAGCTAATAGACATGAGAAATCTAACACATTACAATTTAATCTTAAAGCAGCAGTTACTTTCAAGTCTTCACTACTCTTATAGATATAATCCCAGGCTGGATGCTGGTGGCTTACACCTGTAATTCTCCCTGCTTAGGAGGTTGCAATTTGAGAATTATGGTTCAAAGCCAGCCTGGGAAGGAAAGTCCATGAGGCTCTTATCTCTAACTGCAAAAAAACAAAAAAAACAAAAACAAAAAAACCCTGAAAGTGAAGCTGTAGAGTGCTAACTTTGAGAGAAAAAGCTCAGGGACACTGTCCAGGGCTCTGAGTTCAAGCCCAAGGACCAGAAAAAAGAAAGCAAGCCCAAGTTTTAGTTTTAATAAAGGTGATCACGTTTCCCAAATACAAGGTCTCACTTTTAAGTGATGCAAGGCCGATACCTCAAACCTTTACTACTATTCATAACTAACCCTTGGAAACTCAGAATTCTAGTTCTCACCACCCACCAATATCACCTAATAAAAATCACACCACGGTTGTGTTCATCAATCCTGACACACAACAGAGCACCAGAGCTGAGTGGGACCTTTTCTGTCTCCTCCTGGAGCGCCGTTGTCAGGACCTTGTCCAGCTCCTTCCTTGACTGCTCCGCCTTCACATGCAGCTGCTCACACTTGGCCTTCGCTTCACTCAGCTTCCGCTCAATCAGAGCCTTGTCTTCCTGGGACAGCTTCCCACCGCTCTCTTTTAGGAAGTTTTCTGTGTTTTTCACTATTTCTGCCAATGCCTGTGCACTTCCTTGCATATCTTTCTGTAATTCCTTGTAACACAAAAGGAAAAAAAAATGTAATCATTACCTTCTGAACTCATCCAGACTGCAAACTCTTAAAGAAGGGCCAGTTGAGCCGGGCACCAGTGGCTCACGCCTGTAATCCTAGCTACTCAGGAGGCTGAGATCTGAGGATCTCGGTTCAAAGCCACCCCAGGAAGGAAAGTCCATGAAATTCTTATCTCCAATAAACCACTAGAAAACTGGAAGTGGCCCTGTAGCTCAAGTAGTAGAGCGCTTGCCTTGAGCTGAAGAGCTGAGGGACAGTGCTCAGGCCCAGAGTTCAAGCCCCACTACCGACAAAAAAAAAAAAAAGAAGGGCTAGTTGAGCACATGCTCTCTGGAAAGGGCACTGAATGTGCTCATTTGTATCCATTTATTCAGTAACATTTAGTGCATTCGAAATCTTCACATTAAGCATAAGATTTTCAGGGTTAACCAGAGTAGTTTGTGAAACACTGAAAACACTGAGGTGTACAATCTACACAAATCTTCATATGCCAGATTCTTTAACATAAGAATACTTTTGTATATGAGCACATTTATAAAGCTTGAAAATACAGAGCAATATTTATCATTTATTGTTTCTAATATCAGCTCTGTCTATCTCAGGATAAAAAGAAAATATTTCCCCAGTGAACTGAAATACTTTTCTCCAAAGCACTAGTAATACTGAACATTTGCTTCCTCACTCTGGCTGCTGGGAGGCTCATGATTAGCATCTCTTCTCAGTAATGACAACTTTCTTCTGACTTGAGAGGAAATGTCCCTCTTTCTTCTTTTCTTGTAATGTATTTCCCTTCTCTATAGTGCACTGTTTGAGTTGTAATGTTTCCTCTGTATTTTATTTTATCCTCCTCAAAGTTTTCTGAGAAGGACTTTCCCTGAAAAGGAACCTCCTTATTGAGCCATTACTATGTGACCTTACCTGTGCAAGCGACTTAACTCTCAGTACTTACAATAATGTAGCAATGGAAGTATAGCCAATAAGGAAACTGAGGCTCAAACTAAAATGATTGTGACAAACTTCCACAGAGGTCTATGGTCTAAATCAAGAGCTATTGAGGTAGGGGGCTCTCTCCTGACAGCAAAATGAAGGTATTGCTGATGGGTGGTTTTGTAATTTTCTCATTTCCCTTCACTAAAAGGATAGGAGGAGGAGCGAGACTGAAGACAAGGAAGAACCTGAGCTTTCAATTGCCTATTTCTTCTGATTCACAAGCAAATACTTGGCTTTAAATGGACTCACCCTCCACTCCCCCATCGGTCCTGAGCTTTGAACTCTGGGCCTAGGTGCTATCCCTAAGCTCCTTTTGCTCAATACTAGCACTCTACCACTTGAGCTACAGCATCACCTCCAGCTTTTTCTGAGATTAATTGAAGATAAGAATCTCATGGACTTTCCTGCTCAAGCTGGCTTCAAACCATGATCCTCAGATCTCAGCCTCCTAAGTAGCTAGGATTTCAGGTGTGAGCCACTGGTGCCCAGCTTGGACTCAAATTTTAATTCTTCACACAAGTTGTCTCCATTACCAGACCTTCTGTACACCTCCTTTATCCGGTATCTAACAAAGCTCAAAGCTCACACATGGAGCAGGTATGCCTGCTTCTGACAATCTAAAATTACTGGTAGTTTGCAATGATCCTAACTGCCTTCCAGAGAACAATATCCAGCCACCAAGACAAAACAACTTCTACCTCTTGCTTGGACTGGTACTTCTTCAACTCTACTGTGCCATCTCCAGTCACGAAGGCTTCTTGGTGGCCGATCAGACGGTTTTCAGTTTGGGTGAGGAGGTCGCACACCCCCTGGAGTTTTTCTTTGTACTCCTGCTGACGCTCAGCCACCACCTAGAGTGAAGAAAATCCAAAACATCTTCAGAGTTTGATCCCCAAACCACCACCGTGACCACTTCATATTAATTCAGACACACATTTCAAACTTCCTCGACTAAGCTTCTAAGTATGCTGTAAACACGGTAGCAGTGGGGACGCACTGAGCCGGAGAGACAGAAAGGGCAAGCTGTCCCACGTGCACGCAGAGATCACGTGAGAGGAGCTGCTCTACAGAGCGCAGGCCATGCACGTGTGCGAGATCGAACTTCTGACCGAGAGAAGAGACAATCCATTTTCTTAAGCTCTCCAGACCTGCGACACACACAACTAATTCTGGAAAAGGACACCAAAAGAGAGTTAGCCACAGCTTGTCAGCTGACATACTTGATATGCATATACAGGTTATCAGGCTGAAGGTAATGCTTGGGCGCTTCTAGAAATAAGAGAAACACTGCATGCAATACTTTAGCTTAGTGACTGTCTAACTGCATTCTCACTTCTTTGCTTATTACTGCTCTACTTCATTATAGTCAATATAGTCATTAGATACCTTCTGAAAGATGAATTTAGCAAGTCAAAACTAATTTTTTCCATTTTTCATTTCTCTTTTATATGTACACCAATTATTCTTTTTCTTTTCTTTTTGTCAGTTATGGGGCTTGAACTCTGGGCCTGGGTGCTGTCCCTCAGCACTTCAGCTCAAGGCTAGTGCTCTACCACTTGAGCCACAGCACCACTTTCGGTTTTCTGGTGGTTCATTGGAGATAAGAGTCTCACAGACCTTTCCTGCCTGGGCTGGCTTTGAACCATGATCCTCAGATCTCAGCCTCCTGAGTAGCTAGGAGTACAGGCATGAGCCACCAGTGCCCGATTATTATTCTTATAGTGACAGTAGATATAGGTAACCTCTACAAAAAAGTCTAGCACATGTATATAAGGTACTGCTTTATATAAATTCTCACAATAACACCAGATAAGCACAAGTCTTGTTTCCAGAAACTGATCTGCTCTGTTCTGCCGTGACAAAGGCAGCTGGGCTGTGAGCCTGAGCAGCAGGGTTCTGAGCGGCTACACTGCATGCCCCCTGGTGAGTAGACTCCACACTTCCATTACCACACAGTTATCACTCCTGTCCTGGAAGTCACTGAGAGCATTCACCTCTCACTTTGTACGGTGGAAATCAAGGATCTCACTACAATCACTCAAAGTAGGGAGTCATGGAAATTAGTCAACTGAATCAGGGCATCTTTACAAAAAGCAACACTGCCACACACTATGAGATCACTGGGCTGTATCCTGAATGCCTGCTTGTCCAGAAAACCTTCCTGTCACGCTCAAGTCCCTGCACTGAGGCGTGACAACAGAGAACTGCAATTCACGGTGGGGAGCAAACCTTCTGGTCGTCACGGTCCTGCTCGAGCTGTAACTGGGTCTCTAAGCTTTCCACCTGGGCCGCCACAGACTCCTGTGCGTCGAGAAAGCACTTCTGAGTGGCGTTCAGGAACCTCAGCAGCTGCCTGCTCTGGCCGGGAGACAGATCCGGGGCGTGCTCAGAGATGAAGAGCTGGACATCGAAGGCTGCTGCCTCCAGCTGAGCTTTGGCACGCTCCAGGTCTTTCATCGCTGTCTGTGAGTAGTTGTCAGTCGGGACACAGGTGTGAGAAAGCTAGCATTCACACTTCTCATGCTTACCAATTAAAAAATAACTTCCTCTACCAACGTTTAATGATTAATAAAATTAACCAATAAGCTATTTATCAACTAGTAATCATAATTTAGATAGGATAATAACATATAAAAAGACAAGCCCTTCCAAGAATGGCCCTATGTGTGCCTCACATACCACACACAGGCTGCACCTCCGATGGGAGGAACTGCAGCTTCCGTAGCTCCTTTATCAGTGTGGGAGGAGATGCTGGCATTTCAGTGTCACTTGCTAATAGTGACAACATCCATTTAACTGAGCTGAGACAGAGCAGGACTATGGGGAAACTGGAGATGAACTAAAGAGGCCAGAATAGCCTTTATGCCTTCATGTTCATGGGCATGTTGTTCAAACTAAGAAAGTCGAATAAAATTCATGCCCAAATCAACTACCATATAAATACTGTGTATTTATATTTTTTTCTTTTTTCCAGCCCTAGGGCTTGAACTCTGGGCCCGGGCTCTCTCCCTGAGCTTCTTTTTTGCTCAAGGCTAGTACTCTGCCACTTGAGCCACAGTACCACTTCCAGCTTTTTTAAGTGGTTTACTGGAGGTAAGAGTCTCCTGAGTTTCCTGACTGGATTGGCTTGGAACCATGCTCCTCAGTTCTCAGCCTCTTGGGTGACTATGATTACAGGTGTGAGCCATCTGTGCCAAGCTCAATGTTACCTTTTTACGGGACCACTTTACAGCTATGGTTACGTATGTGCCTGACACATAAATAAGCATGTAAATACAAAGCTGACATGTCCGTGGTGATAAGAGGCCTCTAGGCACTTGGGATGGACGTGCAATAGTTTCAGCAAGGCTGTGATATTTTATAGTTTTATCATCTCCAAACTAGCATCTCTTAGAGACAGAGAAAAGGCAGAACATTCTATAGCCGCCCTTGGAAAGCAATATTTGGTTCTATTTTGTTTTTAAATCCACGGGCTTTGTGATACACTGGTTGTGTTCATTTTGACACTTGCCTTCAGAAATGCCAAGCTTTTCTTCCCATGTTCAGTGTCCCGGGCATCCACGGCCCCGATGGCCCGTGCAGCGCCACTCCTCTCTGACACCCAGTCTGAGAAGGACTGAAGTTTACGCAGGAAGTCTTCATGGGAAATGGCTAGTTTAGACTAGAAAATAAAATTGAGCATTCACGTCTGTCCACAAACTTTCAAAGTCCTACTGTAGCAGGGAGTAGATACCTAAATAGGCTCACAACTGTAGTTTTAGGCCAGTCACTACATTCGCTGAGCACGCTCTCTGTTACGCAAGTTCTAAAAAGATGTTTTTTCATTCTCAATGTCTGGTCTTCCTCCCTGCCCTTTCCCCTTTGTGAGGTACTCAGGAACAATGTTGGGGGCTGGGAAGGTGGCTCAGTGGTAGAGTGCTCGCCTAGCATGCATGAAGGCCTGAGTTGGACTCCTCAGCACCACACACACAGAAAAAGCTGGAAGTGGTACTGTGGCCCAAGTGGTAGAGTGCTAGCCTTGAGAAAAAAGCAGCTCAGGGACAGTGCCCGGGCCCTGAGTTCAAGTCCCAGGACTGGTTCCAGGAGGGGTCATACCCTGTGCCCCTCATCTCACTGACCACAATAAAAATTTTAAAAAAAAATTAAAATTTAAAAAAAAAAAAAACCTCTCCACCCTGGAGACAAAGACTCGATAGCAGTGCTGTGGTCCACACACATTTTACTTGATAAAATTAATAAACCTTTCCTTTTCTCCAAACTGTGTTCTTTTTATTTATGAGCTGGCATTTCACTTAGGGACCAAATTTCCAGTAGTACTACAAATAAAGGCTTCATACTACAAAAATTAACTTCATCTTATGACTAAACTCTTAATAGCAATCAAATTTTATTCAAAATCTGCCCTTATGCCTACCATTTCAGAGTCAATCGCAAGCATGATATGCTGTATTCTTTCTGAGCACGCATTGCTGAGGGAAGTAAAGGTAGCCTGCAGCCTGTGGTGGCTGGCACTCAATTCCTCACAATGTCTTCTGGAAAAGTCACTGGGAAGAGACTTCAAGAACTCTTCTGCCAGCTTCAAATCTTTTCTTAAAAGCACAGCAATCGGAGCCAATCCTAATTTAAATGTCTGCAAAGAAACACAGCCCAGATCCATTTACTATTTCATGGGAAAAAATATAAGTATAAAACAAATGAAAAGTGCTCTGCCTTTTCCAAATCTAATACCAGGAACACCATCTATAACTACCCATGCCATGGTTCCATCCTGGCTGAGTGTAGACACTGTGGGAGCAGGGCCTATTGGGAGTCTTCAGATCCCTGGGGAGGGCTCTCCAAGTGCATTATGGGACTCTAGTCTCGGCTGCTCCTCAGCCACAGGTAAGTGGCTCTGCCTACCACTACACTGTGGTGTTACCAGAGGCCCAAGAATAATGGGGGCCACTGGATTATGGACGGGAACCTCCAAAACCATCAGTCCAAATAAACCTTGTGTCTTTGTAAGTTGACTGTCTCAGGAAGCCACTGCACTGAAGGAGACCTGGCAGATACAGCAGCACAACTCTTACCTCCAGCTGTTTAAGTTGAATCTTTAAAGCTTCTAGATTGTTACCCACAGAATCCTGGTTGTCTAGTGGGGGGTTCAGATCTTGAAGCAAAGCCAGATACTCATGCATTTTTTCAGTGTGCTGCACACATTGCTGTAATTCACTGGAAAACTAAGAACAAATTTGCAGGTCACAATTCAATAGCCTTTATCAAAACATTTTTTTAAGCAAATAAAATGTGTGGGATTATTCCCTTGTAGTTCATGCAGGTACTTCCGCACAAAGTGGGAAAGTCAACTTACTTTTCCCATTAAGCTATCTCTGGAAGGCGTTTCTTTCAACCCAGGAGCACAATCCAAATGGTCTGACAAAACATCACGTGACCCCTCCGGCCTCTTATCTCTTGGCAACGCTGAAACACTCATGGGAGAATTTTCTAGTCCAGATTTTTTTATGGATGGTAAGGTAAGGAGACAGTCGTTTTCCTCTTTGAGCTTTAGGTCAGCGGGAATGTGTGGCTCTTCTCCCCCCACTGCAGAGGGCGGGCATGCCTTTTGATTCATGTCTCCGAGCCCACCTCCTGTCACTGAAGGCCCAGCAGCCAGCAACCTGGAGAAAAGGCCTCCGAGTTCCAGGGGAGATACTCGGGGTGGAGCAGCTCCCCTCTCCAGAGCCCAGTCAGCTGGGGCGAGTTCTCTCATCAACTCCAAGGCTCCAATAATTTTCTGGTTATACTGATTTTGTCTCAGCATATCGAGGAGAAGTTCAAACGTCAGATTTGTAATGCAGAAAGGGTCACTGGTACCCTCTGGCCTTGGTTCTGATGAGGTTCGCATGGGGGATCCAGAGCAGTCAATGATACTACAGTTAATGGGCACACCAGATGCTTCACTCATCCACTGTGATGAGACAACACTTTGAATCAAGTTCTGAATTAAAATCTTAGCATCTGCACAAGCTGGAGTGTCTCCCATCTCTTGAGGATTCATACACCCTTGAGTCAATCTGCTTTTTAAGATGCTCTTTACCTCTTCCATGAGCACCTCTGACAATTGAGGAATATGAGCTTCCTTTTCTTGAGCTCCTGGAGACAAGGGTAGTTCTTTCGGGAGCTGTAAATCAGCTCTTTCTTTCCTATTGTTAGTTTTCATCGAACAACTGCCCATGTCCAAAGTGTTAGTGGAGTCATTTTCCACACCCTTCAGGCAGAACTTTGACTGCCCAAAATCGGTATTTCCCCTAAGAGGTGGAACTGGAAGTGTGGCTTCATTACTTTTTGCAGTGAACTGAGGGATCTCTATTCGTCCTTGGGAGACTCTTTCTTCAGCACAAAGATCACCATGCTGGGCTATCTCACTTACAGCCCAGTGGGCTTGAGTAGGGGCTGACTCCTCTGCACTACGGAAATCTTTCTCAGAACACGCAGCTTCGAAGGTGTGGCTCGGCCTATCTTTGTTTTGCTCCAGTCCAATTTGTGCTTCTACATTTCTAGCACAAAGTTTTAAAGGAGTAGAGAGCTCAAGCTCTTCCTTGGGTCCTTCAGTGAAGGAATCTTTCTCAGAACCATTATTCCCTTTAGACACTGTAATATCTAAAGCAATGCCATCACTGATCACTTTGGAAACTGAGGTGTCAAATATTTCCTCAAGATTCACATATTGAACAGGACTTTTACTAATCTTTGTCTGTACACTCTTTGCTTCATCTTTAGGAGTTATACTTGTTGCTTTAAGACTCCCTTTTTGATTAAATTCCTCAACATTTGTGAAATGTGGAAATGGAAACCGACTCTCAACTAAATCAAGACTCTCTCTTGTGCTTTTATTCAGTGAAAGTTCAGGGTATTTTTCTTCATCTTCTGGATAGTCCAGGAGTTCTCCTCCACCGGTGCCCATTTTCTGAACTGATGTTCTCTCTTCTGTTAACACATTGCTTTCCCCACCTTCCTCTAGAACTGGGCCTTTTCTGCTTCCTTGGCAATCTCTGTCAATCTCAGCTGTGGGTAAAAACTGGCATTCCTCAAAAGGTATTCCTGCCCACTCAGGCTCAGAACATACCGCCCTCTCTCGATACTGATCACCATCTTTCACACAGTGGGCAGATTCTGGTCTTTCCACTGACTTGACATGTATGTGCATCCAATCATTAGCTAACTCACAGGTAGAACTGGTAGTGTGTAATGCACCTGCAGGAGTAAAGTGCTTTTCTGATCCAGTGTCTTCAGTGACCGGTGGCAATCTATCTTGAAGGACTATCTCATGACTCAACAGACTGTCTTTGGTTTCTCCAACAGTCTCGGTTTCACATTCTGGAAGGCTACATGTTTCAGTAGCTAAGCTACTTGCATGAGTTGCTTCTTGCTGTAAAGCATTTACACTATGCAGTTTCACAGAACTGTAACTGTACATTTCATCCAGAATCATTTTGTTGGTCTGCTGGCCTTCCCTTACAGCCGTGGCACACAAGTGAGTACCACGTTCTGCTTCCACCTGGGACATGGACTCTCGAATCTCAGCTCCGATACCTCCTCCTTCATCACCCCCACCATCATCACAGTAGTCACTGTCATCATCTTCCTGATCATTACTGTCACATACACAATCCTCGAAACTTTCTTCCCTTTGCACAGAATCTAAATGACCCGTACCAGCCTGGGACCCTTGCCCACTTTCATACTCTTCTTTTCTCCCTCTCCAGCTACCAGTGCCAGCCCATCCCGAGGAAGCACCAGTGCTCTCTTTCCTTCCGGCGGTTTCGTGACTGACCAAGGAGCCAGACCCATCACCTCCCCAGTCCTCGGCGTCGTCCCTGTGGACAGCTTCTATGGACAGCACCCGTGCCTCTTCTGAGCCAACTGAGCTTGAAAGTTCTCTGCCATCAACATGGGACTCGTCTCTCTCACCACCGCAGAGAAGAGCCCAAGGACACCGCGCCTTACCCCTCCCACTTGAGCTGTCACCTTGTCCCCCGAGGGGATCCACAGAGCACTCGCTCTCTTCTGAGTCACAGAACGCATCTCCAGGAGGAGAGGTCTCACCGCTTTCCTCTTCCATGATGTCACAGTCCTCAGGCCGCAAACAGTCGCCGTCATGGCCTTCAAGCAGCAGAGAATCATGGTCACCATCCTCACACAAGGGAGTGCCATAGAAACTGTCACTGTCCGTGTCGGTCCCCGTCGCACTCTGTGGCTCATCCAGCAGGGACGTTTCATAATCCCCTGCACTGATGGTTCCTGCATGCAACAGCATGTCGGAAACAGATGTGTTGCCATTACCCAAATCGTACCGCAGACTTTGGGTCCAGGACTCTTCCGCTTCCAGGTCAGGTTGATTTTCTTTGGATTTCTTCTGAGAAATACTAGGAAGATGTCCGCTCTCACCACAAATACCTGACATGTATTTGACATCACGACATTCTTGAGGACTGTTAAGATCCATGTTTAAAGGTCTATCGTCAGAGTGATTTCCCTGGCTGAGGTTAATTGCTGCAATTCCCAGGAACTGGTCTTGAAAACATTCTCCCATTCTTTGATCTGCCAACATGTGCTCGTCACTGAATGACAATGTAGAGGCTTCACATTTGTTTTCCTTGTTCTCTGGGGTGTGTCCACCATGGAAGTCTCTGTGCTTGTGCCTCAGTTTATCATGACTGAGCAAGGCACTCAGCCTTGGAGAGTAGTCAAAGAAAGACGACTCCTCATCTGCAGCATCCTCGTTCTCTCTCTCACTCAGCTCCCAGAGTCTACAAGTCTTTGATTTCACCACAGGGTCTGTTATCAGGTCACCTGCAATGTTAGAATAGCCACAGAGATCTCCATGGTCCTTTGTTTCGAGCTGACTTTGGTTTCCACAGGTTTTGGGTCTGTTTTCAGAGTCATGTCTAAGTTTGCCAGTTTTTTCAAGTCCCATCAGTGGTAGGTAGGATACAGGATTGGGGACACACATACCAGCTGAATTATTAACTTTCTGACTGCTTGTTATTGTATTTTCCAGGTTTTCTGACTGATATATTTCACTACAACTAAAATTATTTCCCATTTCACCAAACTCTGCCTTCATAGCACACTTTCTGTTTTCACAAGTCTCTTGCTGTTCAAGGTCTTTGAAGTGACCTTTAGCAACACCAGTTAGTGAGGCTGAACACTCATCCTTTTCTTCACTTGGAAAATTAAGAAATTCATGAAGGAAAGTCATGGCTTCAAGCTTTCCTTTCTCTAGTACATCCTTCTCCAACTCTGTGACGCAGCCCTGCAGCCCGGCATCAACAGCGGAATCCGGCTCTGTGACACAGCCCTGCAGCCCGGCATCGACCGCGGCATCCGGCTCTGCGCTGCAGCCCTGCAGCAGCATACTTACAGCCTCATCCAAGTCTCCATCGTACAGCAGAAGCCGCTTCCCTGTGTTTGCATCCATGTAGCTATTAACCATCAAGTAAGATAGGAATAACCTTCTGGTTTGTTCTGAGCTCTGAGGTGCTGCTGGCTCTTCACCATCCAAGGCATCTTCTTCTTGCCTGTAATCATGAACTGTAGATGGATGGAATTTACAAAATGAGAGCCATCTTCTAGCATTTTTAGAAGCTTCTAAATCTCCTAAGTCTGGCATTTTATCTGGTAGTATTATGTTCTTTAAGACTGATGCTGTGCTATCACCTATAATTCCTAGCTGCCTAGCAACATCCAAATCAATGACTTGAGAGCTTTCTGGGATATAAAGGGCAGCTATTTTCTGCCTGCCATTCAGGATTTTGTAAGCCAACTCATTTGTAATCAGGTTTTGATGCAAAGATGATGATGTTGGGAATATTTCACCTGAGTGGGGCCAAATGAGCCCAACATAGCCCCGCTGAGACTCGAGGACCAAGAGAGCACTGCTGGAAGTGATGAGGTCACATTGGACGGCTTCGTCCACCGTCAGGCGCTCTGCAGGGTTTGCACGGATGATTCCACCTGTCTGAATCTGGTACATGAGAATGCCGTGGGCAGTGTCTCTGTCAATCACCCCAGCTGCCATGGCTTCTTCTATAGTCATTTTTTTACCAGAGTTGCAATCAATCAGACCACCAGAGAGAAGCTGTGCACCCAGTAACCTGAACATGGTCTCTCTGTCTATGAGACCTTCATGGGCTGCTCTCAAAATGCTCAGGCTTCTCCCACATTTTAATGTTATTCTCCCTCCTTCTTGTGATCTCACCGGAAGAAGCCACATCCTAGTGTCTTTCTGTAAAATACTTCTTTGCACCATATCCAGTAAGGATACCTTCTCAGAGGTCCAAGGATCAATAAGATCTCTGTGCATGTGCTGCCTTTCCAGCACCTTTGCAAACAGTGTTGAGGAGATCAAGTTCTGCTGCAAAGCCTTCTGTAGAGTCCACCGTTCCCCCGTGGCTGGAGCAACCAGAACACCCGAGGCAAGCAGCATCTCCAGAACTTTAATGGCCACGGCTTCTGACACGAGACCTTGAGCCAGGGCGTCTAGGACAGGGATCGTGGTGGATGGCACTGCAGAAATAACCTGCTTGGCTTTGTTTACTTCTTCAAGTTGGCACAGGAACTGCTCATCAATAAGGCCATGACTTTTGGCACCGTGGAGGTCAAAGCACTTTCCTAATTCTGGTGAAATTAAGCCAGAAACCATTAGCTGTGTCTCAAGCAACCTGACCCCCGTGTCAAAATCAATGAGCCCCTTCAGAACAGCCTGGAACACTGAGAGGACTTCTCCAGTTGTCCGGTCAATGGTGCCCGCAATCACTCTCCCCAGCTGGAAGGAAAACACAAAGGTCTTAGGTCAAGTCTGTTCCCCAAGAGTGGGAAAATTTCATGCAACTTTTCTTGTTTCATCATGAAAGTCCTCTACTTACCAAGGCGCAGCAATGCTGAGAATGTTAGGAGCTCAAATGCACAGTGATCTATGTCAGTGATCTACTCAACAGAAGTGGTAAAGCTTTGAAACAACATGCATCTGTGAAGTGAAAACTTAATACGTGTACATTAACCAGGTTAGTGAGGACGTGGCAGAGCAGATGATGATGGAGGAAACAACACACACCTAGAAGGCAAATCATGCTTCCTGCATTAGAGAGAGGTCAGAGTTGATGTGAAGGAAAGCCAGCCCATCAACCCCAGGCTACCATGTTTACAGCATACAGACTTGAGCAAGGGCAGTCCCAAACTAAGGAACTAGGAAGTTGTTTTGTACCCACAAACTGTGTGGAAGTACTCCTGAGAGGAATGGAATTAAATATGATATAAAGACTTTTTTGAAATTTGCATTTTGTGTTGGGCATGTTAAAGTGCATCACCAAATTTAAAGAAGAATTGAGAAGCCATATTTTAAGTAATTTTCGTTATATTCTAGAAGGCACTAGAATATCTTCCCTGTAAGACCTCACATCCCTCAAATAAGAAGGGAACTATGTCATTACTTTCATGAGTATCCCCACAGGTCAAATAAACTCCACAGCACATCAATAATGCTGCCATCTTTACAAATGATGCTTAAGATAGGGTCTCGGTATGTAGCCCAGACTGGCCTCTATCTTACAATTCTCCTACTTCGGCCTCCCCTGTGCCAGACAGAAGCACGCACCACCATGCCCAGCCCACAGGATCTTTTATAACATGTTTTATAATAATATACCCACTATCGTAGAAGTAGAAAATGGCTTTTTGAGAGAAGTGTTAGAAAAATGAATGATTCCTTCCTTTCACCATGCAAGGCAGAGATTAACATGTCACAGAAACTGAGGTAAGCGAAACTGCATTTCATAAACAATACTAAACCCGTCCAATAAACTCCATCCATACTTGAGCTACGTGTAAAATTCAACGTGACTTCGTCCCTGACACGGCTTCATCATGCAGTCAAGGCCGCTTGGCACAGCTTTGTCTTAACCACTGCTATTACCTTCTCATCCATCATCACATCTCCCAAAGGTTGTGATCCTTGCAGCTGCTTCAGAGACTCGCTACATAATAAATTATAACCTTCTTGAAGAGTTTTCACTTGTTTTTCCAGTTCGAGTCTTTCTTCTTCCGTCATCCTAAAATAACATTTAAGGATGAGAAAAATAGCCCTGGTTATCAAGGAAAAACACCAGAATCTCAGGTTCAATGATGGCCAATTTTCCATGAATGACTTGCTCAGGCCCTAGTAGTACTGTCTATGAAAATGAAGCTTCCACAAAAACATCTAGGAGTCTTTACTTGCCTGAGAAAGAGACTGAAGAAAGGGATGTAAAGCAATTTGTCAGCATCTCTAGGAATTTCTAGATCATAACTGCTGTTATGTGTTAGGAAGGACCCCAATGCCAGTCCTAACACAAAGAGGGACATCAAATAACTACCTCAAAATGGAACTTTTTAACTAAAGACTGAGGAAATTTACAATGAAATTAACATAATTCTCTAAGTACAATATGAAACCTTTCTGGAATAATCTCAGAATATCTGAAAGTGGCTGAGATAAAAGAAGATCCTTTTCCTGAGTTTGATGAAATAGATACAGCATCTTGCTGCAAAATAGATGACAAAATATGAGACACTACAGTGAAGAAAGTGGAGGCCACATTATTCACACCTATTTTTCAACAGGTCTCCTTGGAATATCACTTAGAATTAAGACTTGACTTGGAATCTTATCTCTTCCATTCCCTAGCTGTTCATCTTTCGCTTCTCTAGGCCCATTCTCTTATCTGTACTAGAGGAGGATAACAGATACATTTCAGAGAAGTGAAGACTACAAGAGAAAATTAAACTGCTAAGTTTATTTTCTATATTAGAGAAAGTAATTTGTTTCATTTTTAAAATCTCAAAATTTGCCACTTTTTGCACTGCTGAGTATTTCTTAAAATGTTATTATCAGTAGTTGCACAAAGAAGTTACAATCCCCTAAGTTGGGTTATTAGTACAATGCATCATGATCAATGTCACCCTTTCTATCATTCTTCCCAAGAGCTCCCCTCAAGTGTGGATTTCAATTTGCACATTGCTAAATATTTCCAAGAGGACACCCTTACTCTGAATGAAAAAGCTAATTAAAACCAACATACTTGTCTCCATGTTTAGCCAGAAAGAGTTGCATGGTTTGAAGTGTTTCAGATAATTGTTCCTTCTTGGTTGATATTTCCTCACTGGAAATCTGCAAGGAAAGAAGGCACATTCAAACTCTCCCCCTATACAATACAATACTATACAACAGTACTTCTAAAAATAAGTTTCTATGAATTGGTCTGCTTTCTGGATGACCCAAATCAATAACCTATCATTATTGGCAATGTAAAGGCCCTAGATAAGGGTTCTATTTAGATGCACAGAAAGGAAAGCACCTCTCTTTGTATTTAATGCCATCATCTTTATGAGGGAATAGTAATGCAACATCATGTAGCTCTTGAATTTGTTCCAGTTCAACTATGGATAACAAGGTGGCCTGGACCCTGGGGCAGAGTTGAGCACTGGTCCAGTGATACTCTTCTACATCCGGGTGCTCAGAAAGGACAGGTACCAGGAAGATGACCTCTAAAGAAATCTTCCTTCCCCGAAGCTCCTGAACAAACCACTCTCCTTTCCTCAAACTGATGTTGATAGCATTCGTTTGTAAGCCAAGTGATTAGGAGTGATTGCCAACATTAAGACTCTCCCATACTTTCAGAGAAAAGCAAAGTCGTCCTGATGCCTCTGTGTATCACTTCTCCATGCCTTAGTCCAGAACTCTCATTCTTCTAAATGAACAGAGACACAGCAGGCCAGTGAAGACCAAGGACCAGCCCTACGCTGTTACTCCACTTAGGGAAATACTTTATATGCCCACAGGCACCCATGAGGGCAGTGGAAGACACATACTAGGACACCGAACTTCGTAAACTTCCTTTCCCAAAGAGAAAGGAGACGTGTGAAGGCCGTAATCTGCGTTCAAAAGGTGCTACCTTCTTTACATGGGCCAGGGCTAAATCTGACCCAGGAATGCTGGGAGAGCATCACAGAATATGAAGATGCCACTGGTTTATAATCCAAGTAACTAAAGGAAATTAATTCTCCCAAGGGCACCTTTGCTAGGGCTCACGTGTCTGTTTTGTTGTCTTATTTGAAAAGGGAGAAAGTGAGGTGATGACATTTTAAGTTGAACATCTGTACTAAATTGCCTTGGTGTTTTTCTTTTTATTTAAAACACCAACGTAGATGCTTTCTGATTTCTCATTTCTTCCCTATTACAGGATCTGCACTATCACAAGACTACAATCTCCCCTTTCCAGTCAAGGTATATACTGCCTTTCAGCAGGACTGAATCAGACAAAACTTGTAACTTCCCCTTTCTAATCATGTCAAGGGTTGGTTTCAAGTGAAAGCAAGTGGCACTGAGGAAGAGCTGGAAGAGGAACTAAACACTGAGAATAAATGAAAGCACCTGCCATGTCCACCTCACAAGGGCATCAGACAGTGTTGGGAAAGAATCCCTGAAGGAAGAGCTTTATTGGTTTGATTCACAGGAATCCCACCCTGGCCAGCAGCACTGCTAGAAGTAGAACTGACTACCAACATCCTATGAGTGTGAAGCATACAACACAGAGCACCAATGTGCCACAACTGCACCAATCCAACGAATGCTCGAGGCTGGGGTTGAAAGGACAGCCAGGGTCTAACACCTCCCTGGGGTAAGGCAAGGAATCTACAGATTCTGGAGATGGGCTGCAGATACTTCCTAATGAAATGGAAGATGCAGAAAAGCACAGTCAATACTTTCAAATGTTTATATCCTAGATGGTATTCTCTTCTGGAAATGTGCCTGCTGCTGTAAGGAAGAGAGGCATTGTCTCCAAGAGAGAGGGTCTGGGCTACCATGGACTCTGCGTGTCTCCATGGTACAAGGGGCTACAAAGGTCTCTGCGTGTCTCCATGGTACAAGGGGCTACAAAGGTCTCTGCGTGTCTCCATGGTACAAGAGGCTACCATGGTCTCTGCGTGTCTCCATGGTACAAGGGGCTACCATGGACTCTGCGTGTCTCCATGGTACAATGGGCTGCCATGGACTCTGCGTGTCTCCATGGTACAAGGGGCTACAAAGGTCTCTGCGTGTCTCCATGGTACAATGGGCTGCCATGGACTCTGCGTGTCTCCATGGTACAATGGACGCCCCGTGACATGGGGCCCAGGTTATAATGTTCTCACGTGTCTCCATGGGGCACAGGGTACAGGCTACAGTGGACGCCCTATCTCCGTGGGGCAGAGGGTCCAGGCTACAATGGAGATGGGGCAGAGGGTCTGGGCTACAATGGACCCTGAGTGTCTCCATGGTACAATGGATGTCCCGTGTCATGGGGCCCGGGTTATAATGTTCTCACTTGTCTCCATGGGGCAGAGGGTCCGGGCTACAGTGGACACCCAGTCTCCATGGGGCAGAGAGTCCAGGCTACAATGGACGCCCCATCTCCATGGAGCAGGGGGTCCGGGCTACAATGGACTCTGCGTATCTCCATGGTACAATGGAAGCCCCATGTCCTGGGGCCTGGGTTACAATGGTCTCACGTGTCTACGTGGGGGTGGAGAACATGGGTTACAATGGACTCCAAACGGTGATTCTGCTCTTGAGCAGTCCTCATTCCAGTAGTAGGGGGAGGAAGGAGGTACTGCACAACCTATTAACTCACTGAACTAGTAGGGGATACAGAGGGATGTGGTTTGGACTTTGCAATCAGAGACATGCACTAACTATAACTCCTGGACAAGTGATCTGCACCATCATTTATTGTAAAACCAGGAGAAATTAAGGTAAATAATTAAACACAGTGTTTAGGTGTATTATACCAAGTCAGGAAATTGTATCCACTAAGCAAAATCCTGTGTGAATACCTTCTGCTTAGAGAAGAGAGGTTTCCCAGCCTTCTCTCCGTTCCTTAAGGTCTTGCTTATGTTTAACACCCATTTCTGCAATTCTTTGGCTTTTTCAACATGTTCTTCCTTTTCTTCTTCCAGAGACTTCTGACAGGTTGTAAGTGGTTAAAGAAAAAAAAAAACACATTGAAGAACTGAGCTATGAAACTGAAAACAAGAATGCAAAAATGCCTTCTGTCCTACACAGGTTGCTGAGACATTGATTTATTCTCTGAATCGTGTTTACTATGTCACACAGTAGATGTACTTCCAAAATGTTTATGGTGCAAAGCAACTGTCGCAAATATTCCCATCACTGCTCCAACCTCCCAGCTGTGTGATCAACAGGACAAGCACACAACCACTTTATTCACGAGGCCTTTGCATTAGCATTACAATGGAAGGTATGAGGCAAGGGACAGCTGAAGAACAAAGCTTGTCTACAAGGACGGAAAATGTGCAGAATGAGGAACTACCCCCACCCCGCCCCAGCATCCAACACATCACTGGCTGGATTTAATTCCAAATCTAGAAATGAGAGGCTATGGTGAGCACTTTAATATGTAAAGAAGGTTACTGTATACAGGAAGCCGTCCACAACAGTGCAGCCTGGGGGCCCTGGAATGCAACCTCCTTTTGACCCCAGTTGCTTTGCAAGAGCTTTGCTGGGACCACAGAAATCAGTAAAATGGAATGCAAATGCCAGACAGGCTGTGCCAGCCACATCTAGTCCACGAGAGGGAGGTCTAAAGAAACCACGCCGAGAACGCACTCAGGTGCAATCCTTATCCTTACTGTAGGTATCCTTACTGTAGGTATCATGGGCTAATTTTAATGCAAGAAAGAGTCAAAACAACTATTGTCAAAGCGAAAGAGAACCACAGAAAGAACATGGGATCTCCTGTGTTTTCAATTTTTAAATTCTCATCTTTTCTGGACAGTGAGAGCTTTCTAACCCTCAAGAAATAACCAGTGCTTCAAGTCAGTGACACACTTGGAGGCTCTATCAGCCGGCCCGCTCCAGCCAGCACGGCTACTCACACAGGACTAGGAGGAATAGTAGAGGCTAGAAATCCCTGTCCTCAAGGGCTCAGACACTTCTAAAAGTTTAAGTCCTGTGTGGAAATCATAATCAGCTTTCTCTAGGGCTTCTTTATAGGTCAGCTTCCTTTTGGTCTGGGGACAGATTATATTTCGGACGTATGACTTGTGATCTTTCAGCCTGGTGGCGATGAGGACGTCGATGATGCCCGCTTGCAGGGCCTCCTCTATGGACACGCGTGTGTGGGTGTGGGGCTCGATCACGCCCCCAGTCAAGTGCTGGAACTCCAGACAGCGCATTCCCATTTCCTTACTGATGATGTTCGCATTCACAGCATCTACCACCGACATCGTCTTGCTGGTCACAGGGTGGGTGACCCCCGTGATGACCAGTTCACACTGCCGCAGCTGCTGGGCAAAGCCCTCATCAACCAGGCCTCGGTGCAAGGCTTCAGCCACCCTGTACCTTTTGCCCGTCAGGGGATCGATTATCCCCCCGGTGCTGACCTGGGCTTCAAGGCATCGGAGGGCGGTAACTCGATCCACCAGATTTCTGCGGGAGGCCTTGAGGAGGGAGATCCTTTCCCCACTGGCGGTCAGCCAGTAGCCTGCAATGGGGCTGTGTGGGTCCTTCTGGGGAGCCAAGCCACTTAGCAGAGAGTCAGCAAGCTCTGTCAGGGTGATGAGGCCATCCTGATACCTCCTGACCACCGCCTTATCAACCGTGCCCCGCTCTACAGCCTCATTGATATTGAACTGCAGGCCAGTTTTCACCTCTGTCAGCATGTGCGAAGGAGGCCCGTGGGATTCAAAAAAGGTAGCTTCCTTCCATTGATACTGCTGTCCTGAGAGATCAAGGTAAATGCCTTTCTCAATCAGGTTTCTCTGGAAAGCCTCATATGCAGTCAGTTCTGCTCCAGTTTTGGTGTCTACCACTGCAATCTTGTGGGCTTTCTGCACACTGAGACTGGAAATGTTCCTCTCCCCAAATGGCAGCAGAAGACATTGGCAATCCACATCGAAGACACACATTCGCAGTAATTCTGCGTAATACAGAGCCTGCTTGTTGTTGGGGTTGGGAAAAACTCTTGTGTTGCTGGAAGGCTCATGCAAAAATTGCAAGATGGCATTGTTGAGGAAGCCCAGCTGCAGGGCAATCTCTGGGGGAACACGGACACCCCGCACGGGGTCGATGACACCCCCGCTGGCAATCTGGGCCTCCAAGATATGTTTCCCTTTCTGCCTGTCAAGCATTCTATTCTCCATCGCCTGAAACACTGACAATGTCTTAGAAGCACAGGGATAGCCCAGGGTTGCCTTCTCTGCCTCCAGAAGTCGAATTCTGAACTCAGGCTCAACCACCCCTTTCAGAACCGCATCTTCCACAGAATACATCTGACCTGAGATGGGGTCAATTATAAAGCCTGTTGCAGCCTGAGCTTCCAAAAAGGCTAATGCCATCATTTTGTCTATTATGATTTTCTTGGCAGCCGAAGCAAAGGAAATCTTCTCTTTTGTAGACTCTAGATAAAGCCCTGCAATGGACGTGGCTTTTGTCAAGAACTTGCTAAGACTTTTCTGAACTTCCTCAACAGTCTGCAGACCACATCGCAGCTGCTCGACCGTTCTCATGTCTAGAAGTTTCACTTCGACCAACTGTCTAGCGGTCACAGAGCGCCGAAGGCCCTGGAATCTGAACTCCTCATCCTTCACAGAGTTTGCCTGACTGTCGTCCAGCTTCGGCCACGGCTCTGCTTCAGAGCCTCCCCTGGGGAATTCTCCTCTCTTGGATCCGGTGGACACACTACACCCATCCAGCTTCCATTCATCTGCCCTGGGGGCTGGGGTCTTTTCTTGTCTTAGTGTTGTGGCTTCTGCCCGCATGTCATACTGCTTGTTCTTAGCTATCTGTAACAGGAATGTTGCAGATGTTAAAAGTGGTTATGCTACCTTGCCATTCTCCATCCAAACACAATTTCATGAGATACAAAGATAGGTAAGAGATACAAGAACAGTTCTCTTTCTTCAGGAGAAGAAAAAAATCAAGCTGAGGGCTGGAAGTAAGTAACATTATTTTGAGAACCTGACTTGTATTGACTTAGAAGTTACTCTTAACTGCTTGGTTCTTCTAGTATGTTTTTTAATTTTGTTTTTCATCAGTGCCAGGGCTTGAGCCCAGGGTCTCATGTTCTCTCTCAGCTTTCTTGCTCATAGCTGGAGCTCTGCCATCTGAGCCATGTTTCCAGTTTGGCATTTTACTAGCTATTTTGGAAATGGAGCCTCATGGACTTTTTTTTGGCCTGGGCTGGCTTCAATTACCCTTGAACTCAGCCCTTTTAGCTTTTTTTTTTAAGTCACATTACAAATACATATTCCCACATATATCTGTGTCTTTAATCGCTACTCTTTACAAATTAAAGGATAATTTTTTTCCCCTCTCAAAATGATCAGGAGCCAAACACTGAAGATTATTAGAACTGTAGTCTAGGACAGCAAAGAGAAAGAGAAGAAACTCAGCACTTGGCAGTGTGTACCTCTAAGGGTGTCAAAAGTGTCACCAGCTCCATCTCCTGCTGGTCGTCCTGATACCTGACTGGTGGCCTGGAACTGTGCAGAGCACGGTCTCTTATCTTCTCAATTTCTGAAAGCCTTGTAATGGGGCTTGTCTCATCAAAAGTTATCTGTAATTCAGTGCTCGTTTGAGAAAAATACTCCGAGTAACACTGCTGGCTCTTCTCTTTCTCCAGGGGACCGGGCTGCTGCAACAGAGGCTTTGGCATCTGCTCAGCACCCCAGTGCTGCCATGTCTCCTCCACCTGCTGTGGCTCCTGGGCCCGTCTCAGCAGAGTCCTGGCTGTGGGGTGCAGGTGGACAGTGCTTCTTGAGGGGCCATCAGTGAGGTGCTGACCCTCCTTTACTGTGGCCTCACAAGCTGGGGCAAAGGCAGCGTCTTTGGCGGGGTCCCGATTTTGGATCTCACGCTGCAGCAAAACTAACTGATGCTCCTGCTCCTTTATCTGCTGATCCATTTTTTGCTTCAGGTTCTCAACTTCCCGTTTCTGGGCTATCAGCTCATCCTCCAGTTTCCGACACTTCTGGTAATGGTTTCCTTCCACGTGTGGCCCCTGCTGCATTTGTTCTCGGTACTGGAGAAGCTGCCTCTCAAGCTCTTTAATGTTTGTTTCACAAAGCTTCGCATTCTCTTGAGCTCTGCAGTTTTCTCGCTGCAGAGACACAAAATCAAGTTTAATGCCTGAAATATCATTCTCAGTGATCACTTTGGACTCCATCAATTTTTCCATCTTTTTCCGAAACTCTTCTGCTGAGCGCTTGAATTTTTCAGACTCTTCCTGAAACACAGCCATCTTCCTGTATGCCATCTGCTCTTCGATGGTCTTGAGGTGCAACTCATCCTGTACCCTTTTCAACCTGTTGTTCAGCTCTTGTACTTGGGCCTGCTGCCGCTGGGCCTGCTGCTCCCCCCGAAGCTTGTCCTGTTTGGAGGCGCTCAGCTCTGCGCTCAGGCTCCGGACCTCCTGCTCTGTGCTCTGGATGATGGCGCTCTGTTGATCGCACTTTTGCTTAAATTCACTCACTAAAGTCTGACTCTTGGCCAGGTCTTCTTCTAGGCTCTTAATCTTCCGGTGGAAATCCTGTTCTGTTTTTGTCTGTTTATGCAAGTGTTCGTTTGTGTTACGCAACTGATCTCTAAAGCCATCTGCCTGAATTCGCAGCACTTCACAGCGCTGCTGGATGGCTTGCTTCTCTAGCGCGATGTTCTCCGAGTCTGCCTGGACCTTCTGCATCAATAATCTGGTTTCCATGTTCTGTCTGGTCAGCTCATCCACCTTTTGTTTTAGCTTTTCTGCGCACTCATTACTTTTCTCCAGTTCTTCGTTGAGCTTTTGGATCTTATTGTTATTTTCTTTCTCAGCTTGAATATTCTGAAGCAACTGCTCCTGACTTTTCTCAAACTGTTCCTTGAGATGATCTGATTTCCTCTGGCAGAGCCTTCGTCTTTCGCTGGAGAACTCCTTCTCGTTCTGGAAAGCATGGATCTGAGAATTTAGGTGTTCAACGTCCCTTTCAGCCACGGCGTGGGCCTGGGTCACTCTGTCCACTTCTCTCTGCAGCTTCCCCTTCTCCTGGTGGAGTGACTCTAATTCTAATTGGTAAGTGTGCTTGATCTTCTTGAGGTTGTCGGCCTCCTGCATGGCCTCTTCGGCCCTGCCAGAGGTTTGGTGGAGCTGCCGACTCAGTTCTCGGAGCTGCTGGGAGTACCCTTCCTCCACCTGACCCTTCCGCTCCAGCTCCAGCTTCAGGCTCCTCAAGGCATCGTTTGTTTCATCCAGTTTATCTTTCAGCACACGAGCCTTTTCCTCAGATGAGGTTTTTTCAAGCTCAAGGGCAGCAAGTTCATACTTGAGCTCCCTCATGTCTTTCTCTGCCTTCCTGTTGGCAGCAGTGAGTTCATCCACCTGTTGCTTGAGATTCTGTGTTTTCTGCTTGTCGCACTCGGCATGAAGAGCCAGCTCCGGCCGCAGCGCGCCCTCCCCACACAGGTGCTGCGGCTCCATTATTCTCCGTCTTGCTTCCAGCTCAATCTTTTGCTTTTCCTTCAGCTGTTTCTCTGCCACTTGCTTTTGAAAAGCAAGGTCTTTCTCCATCTGCTTGACCAGCTTCAAGAGTTCTTCTTCACGATCTCTCTTCCTTCTTAGCTCTTCCATTAACGTCTTTTTCTGCTGCTCCAAATCATTGAGGCTGGAGTCTTTCCTTTTCAGATGGTCCTCCAGGGTTCTTCTTGTGAAGGTGTTCTCCTCCAGCTGGCTCCGGAAGTTCACAAGGTTCTCTTCCACAGCCACCCTTCTGGCCTCAGCCTCCAGGGTAAGCTGCCGGACCCGCTCCAGCTCCCGCTCAGCGGCTTCCTTCTCCCGCACGATGCCTTCGAGCTCCAGCCGGTACCGCTGCGCCTCCCCCTCGGCCCTCGTCTTCTGCAGCGCGATGTCTTCCACCGTTCGCTGCTGCTTCCTCAACTCACTCTCCACAGCCTCCCTGACCTTCGGGAGCTCTGCCTCTGCCCGGGACTTCTGCTTCTTCAGGTCGGCCACCATGCTCTCCAGCTCACAGATCTTGCCTGTGAGCTTGCTGTTCTCCGTAAGCACTGCCCTCTGACGCTGCAGCAGGTCTGAGTAAGCCCCGTGAGCAGAGGCCTCCTTACACCTTTTCATCTACAAGACAGGTGTGCAAACTGTCAGTCGCCTTCTATTCATGTACATCTTACAACTTCTGAAGCCACATCTGTAAAAGCGAAGGCACCCAGGTGCAGAAAGAGCAGCAGAAAGAGCCGGTCACCACCAGCAACACCTGCCCTAGACAGGGAGCTGCAGAAAGAGCCAGTCACCACCAGCAACACCTGCCCCAGACAGAAAGAGCTGGTTACCACCAGCAACACCTGCCCCAGACAGAAAGAGCTGGTCACCACCAGCAACACCTGCCCCAGACAGAAAGAGCTGGTCACCACCAGCAACACCTGCCCCAGACAGAAAGAGCTGGTCACCACCAGCAACACCTGCCCCAGACAGGGAGCTGCAGAAAGACAGCAGCTCCATGAGAAGCAAAGCCTGTCTGGGCAAGCTCACCCAACAGTCAAGTGACAGTGACAAGGTGGGACACAAAACCCCACGAGCTCTGCCCTCTGCACCCCTCCAGCAGAGACCTGATCCTGAGCATGGAGAGTAATACACACCAAACAGAAGCCACATACAGGAAAGAGCTATGCAAGCACAACAGAAACGGAAAATGGTGTCTACCTTCCCATCGCTGATGGGTAAAGGAGCACAAACTCAGAAACAAAGCTTCCCACCAGGAAGACAAGGGAGAAGGAAGATGGCATAAGAACTTGGAACCTTGGGGTCAGGTCCTCCTTATGCCTACTGGCCACAGGACAAGCTGACGCCGTCACCCACAGCACTGCCACTGCAAAGGCAACTTTTGTCCGAGGGCTCTATCAGTACTCACAGCTTTGGCTGTTAATGATATGCCTCGTTCCAGTCCACCTTGAGAAGCACCTTCAGATACCCAGGCCTGTGAAGATGCTCCTTACGTGTAAATGCTAAGAAAAGCTGGGAGGAGGTCACCCTGACTGCAGGCGCACGGCAGGGTCAGCCTCCATTAATGTACGTTCTCAGTGTTGTAATGTCATTCATTGTGGACCGTCCACTCAACCATAATCAGACACAATTTAAATAGGAATTCAGAAGTTATCAGAAATAATTTACATCAGCTACTGACTTGTTGTCTTGTAGACTTGAAACTTATTCTTACAAAAAAAAAAAAAAAAAAAACCAACTGCCTCTAGTTTCTGCCACGGGATTAATATCCAACACAGTTTGCGTGCCACAGAGACAGAAGACTTCTTTCAGCACACTGCAGTGCAGCTCTCCAGCTGAACTCTGCAACATTAACACGTGGTGTTTCTCTCAAGTGAGCTGCTAGGTGTCTTCAGTTTTACACTTATTATGAAAAGCTGCTCTCAAATCAAGGTTTCTTGTGTGGATCTTCAACACAGTTTGAGAAACACCACTTTTGGGGTTTAAAATTGGACCTACTTCTCTTTGATAGGACAGTCCATGGTAAGTGGAGGGTTTTAGAACTTACTCTAGTATTCACGTGTTCTATAACTATGTTATTTTCGATGTTTCATTTCATTATAAATCTTTGAGATTTCAGCAGTGACTAATTTAGATTTGTATTTATTTCAGGTACTTTAAAATATCTTTGTATTAATTTGTCTTACTGGACAAACTAAGCAAAGTGGCCATATATGTGTAATCAATTATCCACTGTAAGGAAGAATGAGACTTAAATTATTTTATTTTATAAGAAGTACTTTAGTTTACTTGTGGTATAAGGGATTAAACCCAAGGTCTTACTACGCATGCTAAGCAAGCCCTGAGCTATCCTGCCAGCTCTTAAATTACTTTACTTTATATCTGACTACTGTATATGTTATTTAAAAGATACATGGACCATTTCAAATGGAATGAGCTTTATAAGAAATAGTATTGTGTATGAGTATGAGTGAGTGTGTGTGTGTGTGTGTGTGTGTGTGTGTGTGTGCATGTGTGTGCACGAGTGTCTGTTCTTTCTCACGTAAGAAACACATGCATGCCTGTCACAAGTCACTAATATTCTGGCTTTCCACAGCATAATGAAAGCTGGTCACCATGTCTTATAATTAGCTACATTATTGACTTAGCTGTAGAGAACTTTTAACTCCAAACAGACTAAAATAATTTACAGTATGCACATTTCCAGGAGCTCAATCAGTAGGCACTGAGTGCTGCTTTGGTTCTTGTCCTGCATGGACAGAGGTGTCCCAAACACCCCAGGATTCCAGCCACAGTCCACCTGAGCTGACTGGGCTGCACGCTTTACAACTTACCCTCTCCTAGCATTGAGTCTACTATTTTGGGGTCTAGTACTTCAGAGGTCAGAAGAGAAAGTGAATCCAGATAACAAAACCCAGAGTCATCCCTTCAATCTTAGCAACCTTTTGTAACAATGTATGTTTATAAGTAGCTCCTTACTTTTTCTGTAATTTTTAATGTAATTTTTAAAGCATAATCAAAGTAACAGAAGCCCTCCAGATCAGAATGGTTCTTGAACAGGTTAAAGTATCTATACTTAAACAAGCCTAAAACTACAGTTCTTAAAATGTAGCATTCTTTTGTACCAACACTGACCAGTAAATTGAGGTCTTTTTAAATACAATTTTAGTTCCTTGAATATGAAATCTTTAGTATGTATCTCTACAGACATGACAAGAGAATTAAATGCTCCCATACAATTGTGCATCCCCAACCGAGAGAAAGCTAAAGAAAATTCTCCCCAGATGCCAGTACTTTCTTAAATTAAGCCATTTCAATATCAAATCTATCATCCTCTGGTCACAAGTGGCTTTGTCTGAAGTTCTGTGAAATAAAAGCAGGGATCAATGCATGCTGAACAAATGCTTCACTACCAAGCTCTATTCCCAGCCCAGGTGAAATGAAAATCAAAATGTGTTTCTATGTGAAGGAAAAATAAATAAATAAAAATTCTAGGCCATCGCTTCCCCCTACACTCTAGCTCATTATAATTTTATAATTAATTTCTTCCATCAGCTACCAGCCAGGTAAATTCATCATGAAATCTATTCTGCTTTCGCAAACCATTCTGTAATTCCTGCTCAGATCTAGCGCCTTGGAACTCAGCTGTTCCTTGATCCTTGTTACCTCCTCTTCTTCCAGCCTCTTCAGTGAGTCACCAGCAAATTTAATATACTGGGTCATGAGAGTGACCAGGGCAGTGTACCGAGTCCGCAGGTCCATGAACTAAAGGGAAAAGTAACAAGCACAACATCAACAATGGCCTTTCACAAGGCCACTGAAATCTGAGGAGTAATTCTAATACTGGATGGGATCTGGGAGCCTGAAGCACACACCCCAGTAATAAGTAAGTTTATTACTGACAGCACTCCAGTGATAAAGGGGAACCCAGTAGCAGAGAGCTTTTCCTGTTATGCACGCCATACTAAAGAGTAGTTTTCTACCAACTTTTATGAGGAAATGAAATTAAAGTAAATATAGTAAAGAACTAATATTTAATTGACCGTGGCTTTAAAAGAGTTGTACAACTGATTAATAAGCCTACTGTTGTGGGTGGACTTTCTGTTAGCACTGTAAATGTGTAGAGCTAATGGCTGCCGAGCAACTGCACAACTGGAAACAGCTAAAATGCTAACCTTCATGTTGGGTATGTTGTCAGAAATGCTGCTTCTGGTAGGCCCTCTTTCTTCTCTTGCCCTCTTCTTACCTCTTGAATAATGAGATCCGCAGAGCTCTGCATTCTGCGGCGCTTCACAGGGGATTTCTGTTGAGAGTCTACCATGGCCCGGTAGGTCATTGTTTGTAATTCATAGTCCTGTGTAAGAGAGTCGACATGTTAAAATTAAGGACAGCAAAGCTCTAAAGCGTCATTCTACCATGATTTAGGGAGCTAGAACCTAATTGCCCTGAATTAAGAGGCAAAACATATTATAGATCTACATTTGGGGGACTCTATATGCCCACAGATGCTTCTAGGGTAGCAATGAAGGCAAAAACAGATAGACTAGCTAAGAGGTGCTGAAGTCTCTTTGGAAGCTTATAAAGCACCTAGTACAATACTAGAGTGATACAGCAAAGTGAGATCTGGAAAGCTGACAGACTGTCCGTGCTAACCTGAAGACTGAGGAGTCAGAAAGTTAGAGGTCCTCTCAATGCTGAAGAGGAAAGTGGTAAGAAATCTATTTCAGAGTTAAGTATTTATTCTGGTAGAGGGGTGATGGTGAGGGTGTGTACATACTCCTGCACTCATGAGGCAGAGGAAGACACCAAGAAACTTTCATCTGACTCACAATTGTGATATATGTATCAAAAGTTCAAATGAGGATTCTCTCTTTTTACTTTTAACCAGGGTGAAATGACTTGCATAGCTTGAAGAATGCAACCTAGCATTATAAACCTTACAGAACAACTCAGCATTATAAACCTGATGGTTTAGGTTGAGAAGTGGCCAGGCCTTCCTACCTTCACTGTTGCGGAGTACTGCTCTGCATATTTTTGGCACTCGTCCATTTTGCTCTGTTTCATTTCTATCTCAGACACCAGCATCTATAAATACACACAATTTAGAAGGAATAGGACAAGAAATTTCTATGTCTCAAGATGTCCAAAACTAAGCATATCTGTATCCATGACTAGTTCTTGGACTTGGTACTGAGTAGGCATCTTGCATTATAGGTAAATGGCACACTTCCAAACTGACTCCAAGTGACTCCTACTCATAAGGCTTCGGAAGCAGAAATAATGTACAGGAATTATCAAAGGTGGATTTGAGCCCTGTCTAACCTCTCTTGCTGTTGAAAAGGCTGCCACTTGAATTTCTGTCTAATTTCCTGCCAGAAAGCAGTTCCATTTACTTAAGAACCAAATCGCCTACTGTGGCCAGCTAACTATCCAAAAGATTATACCATACCTATGGCCATAGTCATAACCTATAATTCTCCATCCCAGGAGGACACTTTCTATGACCTACTTCTATGCTTTCAAAAATGACTGCCAAGAAATAGAAGTAACTGAAATAGGTAGTTTTGAGTTGTAGGATCTTGTTATATTTACTCACCACCCTAAACAGTTGCCTTTTAATAAAGAGAAGATTAAGGCTCTATTTGACCAAATGCAGAGGACCTCAGTGCAAGCATTTTTTTAACGTACTTTCTGTTGGTTCAACTGTGTGGCTAAAGTTTTGCTGTTTTCAGGCTGATTTTCCTGAATCTTTCTCTGCGCAGTTTCAACCTGTTGGATCCAGTCGTCTAACGGGTGATAGGTGTCTCTGTAGTTCTTCAGTGATCTCCCGATGCCCTCCAGATCCCGCAGCCTAAGAGAACAGAGAGAGCATGGGCAGTTCCCAGGGAGAGAAAGTGGAAGGTGGAGGGAGGGGAGAAACACAAAAACCAGGCCATGACAAGTGCCACAGAGGAGCATGGAAAGCCTTCCAGGCTGAGGCAGCACAGGGCAAAGCTCCAAGGACTGGCAGGCTGGAGGCGGTTCAATGTAGACTTTGTGCTCTGGGGTTGTTCAACACAATGATATTGATAGTTTTATGTTAAGCTCCCCAAAACTAACGCTAGAAAAGCAGAAAAATTAACCATAATTATCACCAATTAGGATGTCCTGAATAGCTAAGGCTTGTATCAAATGGCAGTTGATTATTGAAATAAGAAGTTAGCTCAATGAATGGCTAATGTGGTCTTAGATCTTTTGCCATGTAATTTACAGAGCTAAAGAAATAGATGTTTGAACATACTATTCAAGAATGGATCTATATCACTAGGCTGAGTGTATTGCTTAAGTGGGAGAGCACTTGCCTAGCAAGCACAAAGCCCTGAGTTCAAACTCTAGTCCACAAAATAAAGAAGGAAATGGGAAGGGAGTGGGAGAGGGGGCAGGCAGGAAGCAAAGTAGTACAACAAGTACAAGTACAGGCCAACCTAAGCTCTATAGTGAGACCTAGTCTCCAGAGAAGAAAAAGAGATGAAACTATACAAATGACAAAATATATCAATATATTTAATTATACAGTTCAAAAATGCTTATTCTGAAGTTAAATGTCTTGCTAAAGTGTATGATGTAAAATAAAAAACGTTTGTAGGATATTTCACAAAGGCCTGGTAAGTATAGCTCCTACCCAGTGGATGCAAACAGCCTTTCTTCTGTGTTTATGCTGACCAAGGTTTCTTACCTGTTGTCGATCTGCATGTGAACATTCTGCCACCTCTCAGCTAACTGGTCTGCCTTTTCTTTGTGCCAGTCAAAATCAAGGTCCCGTTCTTTGTATGTCTTGAACATTTCATCACTAATAGCTTTTGCTTTCTGCAGCTCATCCTCCAAAGAGTGGAACACCTCCCTCTTCTCGTCCACTTCAGATCGCCATTGCTAAAATACACAGATCAATAAGCATTATAAAAGGCATCAACTAGACATGGGGTAAATGCATTATTTGCCTCATGATTCAATGTATTTACAAATGACTGATACAAAATCGGAGAAAGGAAGGGCAGGCATATAAAAAATACTGAATCAGGATTAACCACTTTCAATAGCTTTGATCTTTACAAAGTAACAACTTGCAAGAAAATAAAGTTGCCACTGCTATCTTTTTCACTGCTTATTTTTAAGTGCTATTAATCCATTGCTTAAAAGTGAATACCCACATTAGATGTTTTGGCTCAAGCCTGTAACCCCCGTTACTCGGAAGGCATAGACTGAAGGATCATGGTTTGAGGCCAGCCCCTCAAGGGAAAGGCACAGAGTAAATTTTACAAGATTTCATCTCAAGTAATGGCTGGGTACGGTGTGCACCTGCCCTTCTGCATGACTGAAGAAGCACTATAGCTGGGCACAGTGGTGTGCACCTGTCATCCCAGACCAGAGACAAAGGAAAGAATAGGAGACTCGCAGTCCAGGCCTGGGTGGAAAGGAGCTATAGATGGTTCAAGTGGTGGTGTGGCTGCTCGGCAGGTGTGAGGCCCTGATGTTTGAAGACTGGACTTCAGAAGTACTTAAGTGTGGATAGACAGCCCACAGTGATGCGTTTACCTTTAGAGTGCTCATTAGATTCTCAATATTGTTCTTGTCAGCCACAACTGCTTCTTCTTCACAGAGTTTGCTTTCATAGAGTTTTACAAGAACCTCTGCAGCTTGAGTATTTTTCAATACTAAATTAATGGTTTTCAACCTTTAAAAGAGGATTAAAAACAGGTGTAGTTGTTAAATGTTCCTGTTCATATAATCAGTCCTGACACATTATGATGCAAGGCACAGCACTGTCCTCTTTGGGAACACTGGCACAATTACTCTAAGATTGATGCTCACTGACTTCCTAATAGACAGCACCTGCTCCAGTGAGCACCCAGCCCCCACGTGGTATTAACAAAGATTCCAACACAAGATGGGTGAGGCCATGTACAAGAGGAAAACCCTACAGACTCCAACAGCTGAGCTACCAAAATAGAAATGAGGAAAATACATTAGTGACCGGTCTCTGTGGCATAGCCCCATCAACAAGGGGATCACCAGAAATTCATAGAAATGTGTATTTCCTCAACAGAGTGGAGCTTATAACAGCAAGTTGTTAAAGCATATTGGATGGCAGGCGGCGAATCGCATGGCCGGTTGTCAGGACAGCGGCAACATACTTCTCTATGTAAGTGGAGGACATGGAGTAGGTATGGTTCATGCTCTGAAGAACCACGCTCAGCTCGGACCGCAGGGTGGGTACAGAGGGAGAGGCAGCTGCTTGACTGAAAAATTCTTCACATTTATTTGTGATTGTTGCCAAGTCATCTTTAAGTCGCTCCAGCTCTTTCTTTAGTTTCTATACAACAGAGAACAAATGCAGATGATCATTTCAATGGGGTATTTCCTTATAATAGTGTGAAAACACATTTCACATGATGACATAAAAACTTACATAACAGAACCAGACATGACATTCCACTCTCCCTCAGTAATTCCCAAACCCTAACTCATCTCCTGAGACCACACCTCTACCTGCTCCTTTTACAACCTGGAAGGCCCCAGGATGGTGAGAGGTACCTGAGGCACAGGCAGAGCCAAGCTGCAGGATCCAGCAACAAGTACATCGTCAGGGCTGGCACCCGGCCAGCACAGATGCTGGAGGTGAGGGGCCACGAGGCGGCACCGAGGTCTCCAGGCACCCCACACACCTGCACCTCTCACCTCCAGCGCTGAGGTGGATGTGAGAGGCCACGAGAGGTAGCACCGAGGCCCCCACGCACCACTGAAGGAAACCGCATCCACACATCTGCACCTCTCACCTCCAGCTCTGAGGTGAAGGTGAGGGGCCCCCACGCACCACTGAAGGAAACCGCACCCACACACCAGGCACCTGCACCTCTCACCTCCTGCTCTGTGATTCGGAATCCACTCTCACGTAGGTCATCTCGTTCCAGGGGGGTTCGGATCTGCCTGATCAACCCATCTTCACAGCTTTCCAGGCGAAGTCTGATGTTCCGAACTTCAGAGATATAGAGATTATAAACGGACTCCTCTTGTTCCTCTGCGAAAGCAAGCGTCACGTTTAGAAAACACCTCATTCATGTCCTTGCTCAGGGCTTTTCTAATTCTTTTTTTTAATGCTAGTGCTGAAGCTTGAACTCAGGGTCTCTGAGTTTTTGTGCTCAAGGCTAGAACTCTACCACTTGAGTTACAGCTCCACATCTGGTTTTTCAGTGGTTAACTGGAGATCAGAATCTCACTGATTTTTGCCCAGGCTAGCTTTGAACTGCAATCCTCAGATCCCAGCCTCCTTAGTAGCTAGGGTGAAGGTGTGAGCCACCAGCACCGGTTTTTGCTCATGTTTTAATATGGGAGTTGTTTTTTCTTTCTTATCACTGGGTCCCATCTAGTCAAACCTGTCATCACTACCAGCCCATACAAGAGGTACAAACCTTAAAATATAAATCCAAAAACATAAACTTTAAAACTTATATTCTAAATAAAATTGACCTATAATGGCTGGGAAAGTGGCTTAGTAGTAGAGTGCTTGCCTAGCATGCATGAAGCCTTGGGTTTGATTCCTGAGCACCACATAAACAGAAAAAGCCACAAGTGGCACTGTGGCTTAAGTGGTAGAGTGATAGCTTTGAGCAAAAGAAGCTCAGGGACAGTGAACCCAGGCCCTGAGTTCAAGCCCCAGGACTAGCAAAAAAAAAAAAAAAAATTACCCAGTGCCTTCTGAAGAACCAAGAACCCATTTCTGATTTCTGATGGCCCAAAAAAGTAATCTATTTCCCTGCCTTATGTTCACAAAATGTGAATTATATAAGCTGCAGATTAATTATAAAAATCTTAATCTAATCTAATCCTAAAATTGAAAATCTAGTAAAGAAAATGTGTTAATGTTTTAAAGAACAGAATGTTACTAATAAAACTGTCTCTTACTATCAGAAAAGTTCAAGATAAAATTTGTATTTAATAAGACTGGGGTAAAGGCACCTGTCTATAATCTTAGCACTCAGGAACTGAGACAGGAACACTATGAGTTCAAGGCTAGCCAAGGCTACATACTGCGTTCAAGTTCAAGTTACACAAGAAGATAGTCATCTATATGCAGAAAATAATTAAATCCACTATGAGCCTGGAGGATCACATGTGAGTGTCACCTGGCCCAACAGCAAGTACTGAAAAGTAGATGCAACAAGAATGCATCAAGTGTCAAACTACTTTATTAAAACAGGAGAGGATTCCTCTAGGCATCGGGCATGCTGGGCAAGCGCTCTACAGAGCTACACCTCTAGAGCACCCACCCCTTTCTTTAGTGTTTCGGCAGTTTTGTTTATCACAGGCTGAGCACCACGACAGACTAAGACTGATTCCTGTTGAGAGCAGGAGGGGGCCAGAATAGCACACCTATGCAGAACACATGAAATCCCCTTATGCTACCTCTTTCTGCAGACTTAAGGAGTTCTTGATAGTACTGCTTGCACACGTTAACCTCCTTTTCTAGCTGTGTTATATCAGAGCCTGAAAACACCCGAGATTCTTGGCTATCTTCCAGGAAATCTTCAAACCGAGACTGCAGATTACTGAGGACTTGCTGATGCTCACCGGGCAGCATGGTCTTGATCTAGAGAAAAACGAAAGTCATGCAGTTAGAGGCTTCCACCCTGAGCGCTGAGTGTAAATGGCACAAATCTCATCTTTTCTCACGGTATAGTCCAGTTAATATTCTTTTCAGTTAATATTATTTTCCATTATTTGATGCTCATGCCTGTAATCTTAGCTACACAGGAGAGTGAGATCTGAGGATCATGTTTTGAAGCCAACCCAAGTAGGAAAGCCTGTGAGATTGTTTACCTACAATAAACTACTGAAAAAAGGTTAGAAGTGGAGCTGTGGCTCATGTGGTGGAGTGCTAGCCTTCAGCAAAAAAATGTTCAGGGACATCATCCAGGTCCTGAGTTCAAGCCTCAGGACCAATATCCAAAAAAAAATAATAACTTTGAGAGATAAGGACAAACAAGTCCATAAAATTCAATAGATGAAATCAAACTATACCCATGTCAGATGTCCAAGCTCCAGAGCTCTCAGAAGCACCACTCAGTCTGACCTCTGGTCCCTGGTGCACAGGACACGCCCTCTATGGTGGGTGCACAACTGATACCACTTCGGGTTTGTGGTAAGCCTTGGTCTGCCAGGCCCTGTCCCATTTGGGACTCATGCCAAGTGCCGACATTACCAGGTTGACATGTCTGTCCACTATACTCACTGAAGCCACGCTGCTTGCTCGTATCTTGTCAATTTCACTGAGAAGGTAATGCCAGGATACCACACTCTTCATGTTTATGTGAGACTCATGCCAAAGAGCCAGGACATTCTGATACTGCTGCTCAATTCTGAAACACAGAATCAAGAAAACAGACAAATTCTTCTTCTTCCTTTCCACAATGTGCTCCATGCAGATTTCCGTTTGGTTTGTGAAATCTGCAATGCTTCCTGCTGCTAGGGACTTCTGTCCCTTGACAATGTGTTGACCATATCTTCCACCTCACGAAGTCCCCACCCCAACTAGCTGTATGGTTTCAGCTAGTGCATACAAACCTGTTTGCAAAGTCGACTGCATCTTTGTTGGGTGGAGGCACAGTGAAGCACACGGAAGGGACCATTGCCTCGTTCCCTGTTGGGCTGATGACCCTCCACTTGGCACGGTGAGAGTTGTTTGCCAGCACACACTCGTCATCTTTGTAAATAGTTATCTGGTTTTCCGGGAAGGGAAGAAGAACTAAATGAAGTCACTAGCAAAAAATATTTCTCCACACTCAATCTTGGGATGTTTCCTTTGATTTTATAAGATAGAAAAACTACAACCAGGCGCTGGTGCCTCACACATGTAATTCTAGCTACTCAGGAGGCTGAGATCTGAGGATCATGGTTTGAAGAGAGTTTGGGCAGGAAAGTCAGTGAGAGTCTTATCTCCACCTAACCACCCAAAAGCCAGAAAGTAGAGCTATGGCTCAAGAGGCTGAGTGCCAGCCCTGAGAGAAGAAACTAAGGAATAACATCCAGGCCCTGAGTTCAAGTCCTAGTACCAGAGTAGTGGGGAGATAGAAAACCTTAGTAATGACTCTTTCTCAACACTCAATCTTAGGATTTTTCCTTCCGTGTTATAAGATGGAAAACCTTATCACTGTGCAAGCAGTATGATTTCAGCTTAACACCACATGGATAAAGATGGCCTTGTCGGCTCCAGAGCGCTGCGAACATGTACCTCAATCTGTCTGTAGTCACAGAGAGCCTGGATGGGGACAGAGGTTTTGAGTGGATAATCGGGAGTCCTTGGTCTCAGCTGAATTACTGTTTTTGCTCGGCCCACCAGGCTGGCTACTGTACTCTTATACTGCAGGAGTTGTTCTTTCTCTTCCTAGGGAGTAAATACCACAGATTAAAACACAGATTTGTATGCTTCATTCCTTCAGGAAGTTACACAAATGGAACTTCAGCCCTAAAGTGATGCCTGGCCACTTAAGCAAACCTGCAATGCCACCCAACACTCGCAGCTCCTCCTTCTGTCTGGCTTTGTTTTCCTCTTTACAATTATCACTATCTAACAAAGCACATGTAATCTGTTTATTTAACATGTTATACTCTTACTCCCCCCCCCCAACATGTGAGCACCATATAGGGACATTCTTGACTGTTTACTGCCAGATCCTAAAATAGTGCCTGGATATAGACAAGTATTTGTGGAATGAATAAATATGTACAAGACATGTGCAGCCACATGGAAAAAGAGAGGAGAGGGGGAAAACACGAAAGAGAGAGAGAGAGAGAGAGAGAGAGAGAGAGAGAGAGAACTGCTAAAGCATTTTAAAACATCTAGGCAAACATATAAAAATTTAAATAGTAAAACTGAATGTTTAACTGCTTTGTGGAATGTGGTAGAAATACTGAGGACCATGAAAACATGGTAAGAGATGAGTGTAATGCTGGTGGTGGTGGTGTGCACAGGGTTTGAGCCCTACCATGGACTCCTGAACGAGGTCTTCCAGCCTGTGGACGCTGCTTGATCGGTCACAGCTGTACTTCCGCTGGACAGTATCTCTCAGATTCCTCAAGTAATCAGCAGCTTCTTTGGCATCATTGAAAAACTGAGGAAAGACAAAACATGGAGGTTACAGTGTGCTGAATGCCAGTAAAGCTGAGAGGTGTTAAATTTGTGTGCTCTTCATAAGACAGAAGAGGCAAAACACAACTTAATAACCACTTTGTTCCTTGATCCAAACTGCCCTGAACTCGAGTGGTTATACATAAAATACGAAGGGCAAAAGGTATATAAGTATATTATGTTTTGGATCTGTATTATTTTGGCTGAAATTTTCATTTCCTGTAGGGTTAAAACAATTTTTTACATAAATGGAATTCTAAAAATGCTTTTAGGGGCCAGTGGCTCACACTTGTAATCCTGGTTACTCAGGAGCCTGAGATCTAAGAATCGCAGTTTGAAGCCAGCCCAGGCAGGAAAGTCCATGAGACTCTTATCTCCAATAAAGCACAGTAAAAGGCAGATGACTCAAAAAGGCTGTGACTCAAGTGGTAAGAGTGCTAGCCTCAAGCAAAAGGAGCTCAGAGACAGCTCCCAGGCCTAGAGTTAGAATAGTTAAAAACAATTGCAGAATAATATGAAAAGCTCATCTGGTTCACTTTTTACTTAAAAGATGCAACTTTCATTAATAAAAGACATTTGTTTGTGTGTGTGTTTGTATGTGTGAAGTTTTGTTAAGTTTTAAGGGTTTCTTCTTATTGTTTTGTACCAATCCTTGAGCTTGAACTCAGGGCTTGGGTGCTATCCCTAAGCTTTTTCTCATAGGCTGGTAGCTCTACCATTTAAACAACAGTTCTACTTGAGGCTTTCTGGTGGTTAATTGGAGATAAGAGTCTCACAGACTGTTTTGATCAATCTGGCATCAAACAGAGATCCTCAGATCTCAGCATAGCCTAGCTAGGATTACAGGTGTGAGCCACTGAAGTCTAGTTTAAGGTGTTTTGGTTGTTTTCTTTTTTAAAGGATTTCTTTTTTTCTTTTTTTTAAAAAACTTTTTTGTGAACATACTGTACAGAGGGGTTACAATTACATGGGCAAGATAATGAGTACATTTCTTATCAAGCATTGCAGCCTCCTCCTTTGTTTACTCTTCACATCCCTTCCCAGCCTCCCGGTCCCCCCACCCCACCCCCCCCCCCATCCCCGCACCAAAGTTGTAAAGTTTGTTTTCGACATGACAACTTGTACTTCTCATTGTTGCAACAGGTCCACCTGTATCCTTAAACGACTTGTTTTTCCCCATCTCCTCCACAAATTATACGGACATCAAATATAGTGAAAGCAGGGGTTATACTGTGGGGGAGGGACATACAAAGCAACAAAGACATAATCTTAAAAAGGATTTCTTTCTTAACTGCATGTTGCAATCTCTCTTCCATAATACCGGAAACTAACTTTGAATCCTACAAACTAACTTTAAATATTTCAGTTCATCTCCCCCTGCCCCAGTGTGCACAACAGACATGTTCGTATTCATTAACTTTAAAAAGTCTCTGCACATTATTTACCTTAGCTAAGACATGGAACCAACCCCTCAGTAAATGCCCCTCAGTAGATGAATGGATCAAGACAATGTGGTATATATACACAAGGGAATTCTATGCCTCCATCAGAAAGAATGACATTGCCCCATTCGTTAGGAAATGGAAAGACTTGGAAAAATTATATTAAGTGAAGTAAGCCAGGCCCAAAGAAACATAGGTCCCATGGTTTCCCTTATTTGCAATAACTAGTATATGTCTCAGACAAGCAGAAATGATCAGATAAGTTGATGTTAAGTGAAATGAACCCCAAGATAAGGACTCAAATGTTTTTTTCTTTCTTGCTATTGTTTCTAACATATTTATAAGATATTTCTTTGTTGCTTTGTATGTCCCTCCCCCAGGGTATAAGCCCTATTTTCCCTGTATTTGATGTTGGTATAATTTGTTTAGGGGAAGGAAAAAAACAAAATTGTTTAAATAGGGACACAGGTGGACCCACTGCAACAATGAGATATACAAGATGTTATGTCGAAAAACGAGCTTTACAACTTTGGCATGGGGTGGGGGGGGAGGAGAAGAAAGGGGGGCGGATGGGAAGGGATGCTAAGGGGAAACAAAGGAAGATTCAACAATGCTTGATAAGAAATGCACTCATTACCTTACCCATGTAATTGTAACCCCTCTATACGGTATTTTCACAATAAAAAAATAAAATAAAATAATTAATTAAATAAATAAAAAGTCTCTGCAAGTCAGCCCACGTCCCTGCAGCCTGGCAAAGCCACATTTCTATTCACACACCTCAAAGTATGCAGCGTTCTCTCTGATGTGCTGCTCCACACACTGGCAAAGTTGTAAGATCCAGCCCCACTGTGTCTGCATGGCTGCTCTGTAGGCCTTAAAGATAAAGCACAGCCACTGAAACCAATGCAGAATAGGTGGCTCAGGGGCAGAGTGCTGGTCCAGCACACAGGAGGCTCAGGGTTCAAGCTCCAGCACCTCCAACACAGATGCTGTTGAGATACTCTACTATGAATAGGTGATTAGGTATTTCAACAGGAAGAGACTTCAAAATCAGGAAGGCAAATTGTCCTTCTTGCCTAAAAGTTCCTGCTTATACAACCAGCCTTAAAGTTTATATCTAAGTTTTAAAATTTCTCTCAAATTTTTAACTCCTTAAAATACAAATGAAAATGTGAACTATGGTAATTTTTACACAAAGAACTTCAAATGCATACAAGGTATCTTTCCTACATAGAAAACCAGTCCTTCCCTCTACCCCTTGTTCTCTACCCAGTATACTTGCTGTGTGATGCCCTCAAATAGGTTTCCTCTTTGCCATCTCTGGACTGCTATGTTGCTGAGCCATAGCATGTACCTTCTAACACAGAAATAGGAAACCCCATAGCCGCACTTTTCCTCCTGGCTTTGTAGAGGAAAAGGCAATGTATTCTTTTCTGTAAGTGTAATTCTGGAGTTACAATAATTAGAATAGTAGTTGTCTTAAAGTGTCACTAGTATGACGTGCATCTCATAAAGGCAAACGAATATAGCATAAAGGATATCTACTTCATTAAAAAACATAGTATAAAGGATATCTATTTCATTTAAAAACAAAAACAAAAACTTTTCCTAGTTAAGGTCACTCGTGCCCAGGAGAGGGCGTGCGAGGAGCTTTAGTGACTAAGCCTGTCATTTCCTCCATCTGCACCAATGCATTCCTGCTCGGCTTTGCCCAGGCAGGCTTTCTGAATAGAACACACGCAGTACTGGGAAGCTGGTAACACGTGATCATACATCCCTGCTCCCTGGAATTATACTACTCCTGTTTCTCCTTCTGCCCCAACCACTCTCCTGACTCACCTCAATAGTCAAACGGGCTGGGTGATTTTCTAGAAGTAGCTGATCTGCTATCTCCTGGACTGATTTAATATTTTCTTCCTTTTGATCAAGTTCTCGCATTAATTCCTAATGAAGAAAGAGTGAGGGAATGTGTCAGAACAAAGATCTAAACCTCCAGTAGCACCTTCAGCGTGCAAGCACACAGGTGTACTTACAGCATGATATTCTTTTTTCCGAGCTATGTTGGTATTTCTCTCACTCCAGTCATAAGCAACTTCCTCCTCCTCTTTTTCATTCAACCAGATAAGTTCATTAGTTGCCCGAGTTACAAAATTATGAAGCGTGTCGAGGTGGTGCTCCTGAGTCCTAGATGTATTCTTTGTAAGAAAGAGCAGTGTAACAATCAGATCTTTGCCACAGAGATAAGGAAACAGAAATATTAAAGAAAAACTTACCAAGAGTTTTCCATACTGACTCTCTAATCTGTGCAACTTCTCTGCATAAGTTAACTTAAGAGGTGCTGTCATTTGAATCTAGAAATGGAATAAAAAGACTTTGAATAAGGAATCTGTACACACACCAGATGCATCTACTATTGAGTGACAGGGCTTCCAAAGAGGAAAACCACGTTAAAACTACCATGAAATATATGTAAAATTTTAAATTCATATACCTCACTGATTTTTGCTTCTTTAAGACTAGATTCAAATTCTTCAATAGCTCGGTGAACATTTTTATGATTTTCTAAATGGCTCTCAACACTTGGCAAATCTGAGCCCCACTCGGTGTGGTCCAACTGCACCTTCAAAAACAAAAGATAAGGTTACAAAGTGCACAGTGGCAAAGATCCAAAACTCAAGAAAACCAAGCATTTGTTCTATACCTGCATCTCATCAACCCAGTTCAAAAGATCCTGGACAAATTTCATGTTGACTTCCTCTTCTGTTAAATTCTGATCCATCAGAGCTGACTTCATGAGCGGTTTTCGGATCTGCATCAGTTTCGGAGTCTGCAAGGAGGCTGGCTCAACTCCTGAACTGAAATTTGGAACTAATCCCACTGGAAAACCAGGAGCATATACTGGGGTGACTGAGGGAGTGAGGCGGGATGTCAGCCCTGAGGAAAGGCCCGAAGTCACACTGGAAGAGGTCAGGGAAGGGGTTGAACTCTGGGTCAGCCCTGAGTTCAGACAAGGGTTTAAGGTCTGTGCCAATCCCGCATTTAAGCTCTGAGTGATTCCTGATATCATGAGCTTTGTTTGTTCTGTGGTCAGCATGCGTCCTTTGCTGTACACTGAGGCACACTCACTCCTTAAGGCCAAAATTTCATCACGGAGCTTAGCGACCCTGAAAGGAGAGGGAGAAATGGGTGTAAAGCCACGAGTGAGCCCATACCAAAACCACAGACTCCAGTTAATGGTAATGTGCCAGTGTTGGCTTCTCTCCCTGGTAGTGCTGCACAACCAATGCAAGGTGTTAGAAGAAGGAAAGGAGAGAAAGAAGGAAGTCTCAGGGACAAGAAAGAACTGGACTTTCCATTCAATTTTCCTGTAACTAAAACTTCTCAATTAAATCCCTGGGTTTAAAAAGTCATTATAACCATATTGGTAAAATTCTGCATCATAATTATTGTCAATAATGAACACTGTGCTATAAGTCCTTTTCATATCATTAGTCTGTATAGCCATCGCTTACACGGAACAAAACTACCACCCTCCAAGGTCATCCTTCACCTACTGACTTTATTAAAGATAACAAGAAACTTTCCTTACCACATATTTCTGGCATATGCGGGTACAGTGACTCACACCTGTAATTCTAGCTACTCAGGAGGTAGGTATCTGTAGGACTGTGGTTGAAGGCCAGCCCCAGGAAAAGGACCCAAAAGTTAGTGAAACCTCATTTCAATTAAAAAAATAAAAAGCTGGACATGCACAGTCCTGTCATACGAGCCACTCATGAGGCTTAAGAAGAAGGATCACGACCCAGGCCAGCCTGAGCAGAAATAAAACCCTGAAAAATGACTAAAGCAAAAAGGGATGAGTGGCATGACTCAAGTGGTAGAGCACCTGCCTAACAAAAGTGAGGCCCCTAAATTCAAATCCCAATACCAAAAGTTTTAACTGTGTTTCTGATATGAACATAAAGCTTTTCCTTCTATTGTTATTTATTTTCTATATTTACAATCACTATAGACTCCTAAAAAGAAATTACTAAGTCAAACATGGCTTGCAAATATTACTTTTCTATGCATAAAGAAAAATAGAAACACTGTGGACTGTGGAAATTTCTAGGGCTGGGAAGGTGGCTCAGTGGTAGCGTGCTTGCCTTGCATGCCTGAGGCCCTGGGTTCGATTCCTTAGCACCACATAAGCAAAAAGAAAAAAGCCGGAAGTGGCGCTGTGGCTCATGTGGTAGAGCGCTAGCCTTGAGCTGAAGAGCTGATGGACAGCGCCCAGGCCCAGAGTAGAGGCCTCACGACCGGACCAAAAAAAAAAAAAGAAAAGGAAATTTCTACCCCGAAATCTAATTCTCAGAGTTATACTTTTTATACACACATTTTGAAAACTATTATGAATATTTTCATAAAAGGATAAGCAGAAAAGTAGAAACTTTCTTTTTACATTTCTGTTATTTCTTGTTTTCCTTTTGTGGTATAAGAACTGAACAGGGCAGTGCACACGCTACGCACACACACTACAAGGAGTATGTGCTCTGGCACCACCCGTGGATATGTCAGAAGTATGTAAGTAATATAAAGACATTAAGCACTCATTTCAGTTGAGCTGCTCAGTTACTGTGTTACGTTAATTCTGGTATACTGGGGTTTGCCCAGTAACTGCTAACCACAATATAGCAGAATTAACACAACACACTCTTTACCTACAGAGAGCTAAGAAACATTCCGCACAGTCATGGTATTCAGTATATACTATGTAGAAAATGAACTATGCAACTTGTGGACATGGACAGGGGAGGGACTGGGGGAAAGTGAAGGAAGGGATGACATTATCCAAGAATCATCTTCTCATTACCTGACTTTCAGAAGTATAGCTCCCCCTTAATAATGAGAAGAAGACTGTCAGTGTCTGCATTTATCTCCCTATGCCCATGAGGGTCACAGCAGAATTCTCACCTCTGTACCAACTGATCTGCCTGGTAGTATTTTCCATCAAGAAGAATCTGCGTGTCAATCACATGCTGGTGTAAGAGCTTTTCACACTCAAGGATGTACCCGGCAATCTCGGCTTCATTCTGAAACTGCAGCCCTGATTCTAGTCTTTTGGAATCCTAGGTTTAAAAGAAATCATGATGAATTCTGTGAACACCTGTCAAAACCATCTTGAAGGTTACAACCCCAAAACCTGGAAGAGAGGCCTACATGGACGTTGTCTTCCTTTTGGGTTCTGCCTGCTCACTGTCCCTTCAGACAAGACATACCAGTCATAACCACTGGCTAACCTTAACTCGAAGTACAGGGAACACACCAAGGGCAACCAAACTTCATAGAAAAGTTTTATCCTACCCCGTCCCCTCCCCACACCTCTACAACAGTCCCACCAGCTCTAAGATCGACTCACAGACTGGAGTGCGTTCCGGGCCAGGCCCAGTCTGTCTTCGCAGAGGATGCTGTCTCTCTGGACGCGGTGGGCAATCTGCACCAGCATGTCCAACCTACAGGAAGACACAGAGATCTTTCTTTTGAAGTCAAAGCATTCATCATCCCTGAAAACTGCTGCCCACTGAAAAGCAGAATGAAATCACACTGCACGTCTCCTATACCTGTGTCCATGTGTGGAGTCACTGCCAAAGCTAATGCAGGAGCTGATGAGGGTTGGACGGCAATGAACCGAGAGAAGGTTTTCCCCAGAATCAAGACTAGTACGGGTGCTGGCTGTGTTACTAAATACAGAATCGCTGCTCCGGTAGCTGTAAGTGCTGCTGTGCATTTTCAGTCCCAGAGCAGTGTTCTCTGATGGTGAACGTGAAGAGAAAGTCCAGAGAACTTTCTACTTCTAACGGGAAGGCAGTACTGAATGCTAAGGCTCTAACAGCTCCTTAAATATGCCTCAACATGCAGATGCAACACACAGCAAAGTGCTGATAACTATTCAAAAGAATCTTGCCCCCAGCCATACAGTGGCTGGCTGAGGTTTGCCTGGTGGAGCCTTCATTAAAGCCCTGCAAGTACAGACAGCACAGGCTGATCAGGGCGTCGCTGGGGCAGAATCGCCAAATAGTTTCACTAATAGTCATCTGATCGCAACCACCTAAACAACAACTCCATGCTCCAAAGAAACCCAGGGACAATTTATAAAGACAGTCTTGACTGTGCCAATCATCATACCCAGATGGCCTTGTCCATGCCACCTGCCATACACAGTCCCTTCATGTGCAGCCATGGTGGGAAGGCCTTGTCCACGCCACCCATACGGACAGTCCCTGTGCAGGCAGCCACAGTGGGAAAGTCTCTGCCATTCCAACCAGAGTGTCATCTGTTCATAAAATTCAACCAACCGGAAAGTTATCTATTTCCCTAGGTTTATCCCATGTGTCCCAGTGATGCTGTGTCTGCCACAGTCACCTAGACAGATGTTGAAGAGCCACAGTGCTAAGTAGAATATGGATATGATGTTTGCAAAGTCGATGTGCCTGTTCTTGTTTTTCTTTCTTTAGATTATTACATGGTATAAAATGCCAGCTTTTCCTAGCTGCCTTTTCATATACTCTAGGCCACACAGTTATTATTCACAATACACATAGTCACTGCCAAAAAACTTGTTGCATCAAGAAAAACAGAGGCATTTATCCAACCAAACTCCTAAATATTTTCCTACTGCTAATGCTACAAAGCCAAACTTCTCCACTCTCAGGGGAGATACTTTCCTAACGAAAGGCGTGAAAGAAGCCAGGTGCCAGCAGCCCATTCTTACAATACTAACTGCTTAAGGAGGTTGAGAACAGGGGGACTGCAGTCAGGGCCAGCCCAAAGCTAGGCCCAGTGGTGTGTGCCGTTCTTCTGAAATACCTGGAAGGTGGGGATTGAGCAGCTCACGGTTTGAGGATGGTCTAGGCAGAAAAGCTAACAAGACTTCATCTCCAGAGAGGGCAGCTGAGAGCAAGGGTGCTTACCCAACATTCTGGAAATGGTGGGATGTATAAGATGGGTGAACAGTGGTCCAGACTCCCCCTGGGCAGGAGATGATGTACTGGAAGTGTGGCTCAGTGGAGGGCGCCTGACTAGTCACATCCAGCATGAGGCCCTGAGCCAAACTCCATTACTGTCCAAACCAACCGCCCAACAAGCCGCACTGCTGAGGCCTGAGTCGCCCGCAGCACAGATGCAGTGTGAAGAGGTAGAGTGCCAAGCAGGCACTCGATTACTAGGGCTCTGCTCTCGTCCCAGGACGAACAGGAGAGAGGGGGTGGGGCCATAGGAGGGCCAAGTGGCAGCCAGTGTGCCGGCTCTGCAGAAGCCTCGGGGTAGGCCCAGCCCCTTCGGCCCCCACAGCTCAAGAGGAGCAGACATGGTCCCCACAGCCCACAGCCAGCTGGGGGTGAGGATCTCCAGGGCACAAATTTACCCAACAGGGAGAGAGCGGAGTGGCAGAGCACTTACCCAGCATGCACCGGGCCCTGGATGAATCCCCAGCCACACACACACAAGTTGCCCAGAGCTGCACCTGCCTTCTCACGTAGCAGCACATGAGGACAGACAGTGGACAGCAGGGGCATGCTCAGAGAGGCAATGCACGTGCAGAAATGTGGCAGGAGGGGGGCCTGAGCTGACACCTTCTAGTCTGTTCTAGATGGGACTCTGCGGTCTGTGCATCGAGACAGACTACATTTTGGGTTTTCTCTTTCTGCCACTAGCGTTTGAGCTCAGCCTTATACTCACTCCAGTCACTAGCTGGTGCTCTCTCATGGCCTCCAGGCCAGCTTTTTGTTAATTATTTTGATGAAGTCTCACAGGTTTTTCTGCCTGGACTGGCTTCAAAATGCAGTCCTCTGGACCTCAGCCTCCCAAACAGCTAGGGTTCAAGGCCATGGGCACCCAGCTGTTTCTATTCATTAACATGTACGTGTGATCTGAGGGGTTTATTGTTAGATGCACTTTGAACAAATCTACTTCACATTTTCCTCTTTTTCAAACAGTATATGGTGGGTTTCACTGAGATGTGTGTATTTACAGATCTCAGAGAGGACGGCCACAATCAAAAATGTTAACAAGAAACAAATCTATGAGCCTCCGGGTCGAGGCCCTGGAGATTTAAGGCCAACGAGGGGCACTCTCCTGGGTAGTTTTCATTGGTTTCAAAGCTATGACCGATGAGACTTCACATTTACGCCCACCCTACCGGGTTCTTCAGTTAATTACTTCCCTGATTACCTCTGTAAAGTGCCCAGCAGAGTTTCTAGAGCAAAAAAAGGGGAGGATGAGAAAGACAGTGTGATTTATTAGAGGTCACACAGCCACGTACATGGACATGTCAGATCGTGGTCTCCATCTGCCTGGCTCCACAGAACCAAAGGCCTCCTCCCCACAGACAGCCTTGGCTTGCTTCTCCCTCTACTTTGAGGCAAAGTGCCTTCCCTCATCTACCTACCTCTCCACTTCGGGGCGCAGTGCCTTCTCTCTCTCCAGCATGGCGATGATGAGCTTGCCCCACTCCTTTTCTATGTCATTTGGATGATAGCCTTGGAGGAGTTTGACACGCCCAAATTCTATCCAAATCTAGAGTATAGAAAACAAAATCAGCATAAAGCAAAGAACTGTAATGAAGATTATGCTTGCCAATAGAAAGGATATGTCAGCTTACCTCTAATAACTTATATAAGCGTTTAATTTTGGATTTTTCTGACTCCTTTGGTGGAATTTCTTTTTCTTTAAACTGTAAATACTGATTATAAAGTGCCTAAAATGAAAGAGGAAATGAATTAAGGGCCAAACTTCATTGACTCATTATGTCCCCAGTGCAAACGCTTTTCATGGTGGTATATGCCTTCAGGGTACATCAGTGCCCGTGTGCTGGTAGGTGGGTTAGGCCAGACTTGATGAGGGCAGAAGTGTGGACGGCAGCCATGACTGAACTTGTGCCACACGGGGGCCGGCATAACTGATGGCTCCACTGCGCATCTTTTACCATCCATGCTAGAAAGTCTGTCTTACAAAATAAGTACCTCCTAAACACCACACCTTCATTTCTAGTTTTCTGGAAAAGAATTTGATGCAATTCCCATGAGGAAACAAAATGAACTATTCTTTCATTTCATCGTTTGACCACTGAACACACAATGCCTAGCAACTAGACAGAACTAAAATTTGACTTCATTGTCCTGCCAGTCAATGTACACAGATTTTTACATAAATGAAGACATATGCTCGTAGCTGATGGTACCATTATTATACAAAGTTCAACCATATAATTAAATTATGGTTCTCATTTGCAGATACTCATTTGGGAACCTTTAAAATTTATTAAAAATTCAGTGTATTAGTTAAAGTGATACAGACAAAATATCTCCATACTTAATACGTGTATACTAATTATCTCATCCTAATTCATGCTGCATTAAAACAAGATCCTACAAATCTTTGGGCAGATTACATTTCTGTAAGATTCCATTCAGTGGTCTGGTGGCTAACAGATTTATTTGCAGTCCTTCACAATGTGTTCCTTCCTGCATTGTGCCCTATCCCAGGCGCTAGCTAGCAAGGAGCCTTGCTCCATGACTTTACAAATCTGCACTACTCAGAGGCCATGACACAATTATTCAATGGGGTCGAGAGTGGAGATCCATTTGGAAATAAGCATGTCTGCATTCAAAAGCCAAAGATGGCATCCTCCTTAGGAGTCTGGCAGTTACCTTTGCTAAACACTCTGTAGAACTAACTACATGGCAGATGGGATTTTCCTTGTGCCTTAGAAAAAAATTCAAAAGATTTTTTTCTATCTGCCCAGGAATCATTAGACACTTGGCGAGCACCCTTGAACACTTCAAAAAGTACCCTGCCCACGGAGGCCCAGGGCAAATCCCCACGGTGACATGGACTAGGACGGGCCCCAGAGGCTCTGCACAGATGAATGACCTCAGTGGGACCCACCATGAAAGACTTACAAACCAAAGAATCATGCTTCCTAGCCAATAGCTACGTTGTTCACTTGTCAAGTAGACCACTCTGCTGACTCACATACAAATGTACAAAACGGGACAGCCTTATTCTTTGGTAAGCTTATGTGCATATAATGCGTTCTACTTTGCTATAGCACCTCGGCTTCTAACAGCCCCACATACACTTTTCAATATTACCAAGTGCTTCACTAACCATTAAGCCACAAGCACTGACCTAGATAGAATAAATGCCAAACTTACTTTACTTGGGCTGAAAGTATGTATTTTCAGTTTCTGAGAAAACAGTACAGGCTGCACCTCATGCCCTACAGAAGCAGCCTCTTTGGCAGTTTCCAGCAGGGTTCAAGCAGAGGCATCTCCAAGCCACTGCCAGTATATGTATGAGTTCCTCCAGACCCTCTTCCCCTTCACCTGGTGGGCTCCAAGCATCTCCACACACCAAAAACAACCCGTCCATCTAACTCCACACACTCTCAAATTATACTTTTATTAAACTTGCAACATACCAAAGCTTAAGGGTTGCAAACTTCTTTAGGCTGTTTTTGCTACTGTTTTAACTATTGGCATTTGCCTCTATACTTTCAGTGTAATAAGGAACTGTGTAAATAAACATAGAAGCCACTCATTTGTGTCTTCCCAATAGCAACTGTTATTGAACTAACATAAAATCAGAATTATTACAGAATTAGTTGAAAGTTTATCATCAGAAGGATCCTACTGAGCTTCTACACAGCACTGACCTTCAGCTCTACAGGGTTATTAGGAAATGTTCTCTCAGACATTGTGGTCACGTGGTGTCTGATCCACTGCATGAGGTAGTTCACCATGTTCTGGTATTCGATCCATTTGACTTCAACATCCTGAAACAATAAATGCCAATGATTCAGCTGCAACAGTTTGGTCAAAAACCTTCTTGTAAATTTTGGTCTTAAAGCCAGCTGTTTTCCACTCAGAAAACAGCTCTACCTCTTGCTTTCTACTCAACTGAGATCCTTTCCAATAAACATTTACAACATGCTGTAAACTAACACTAGCCTAAGAATGCCAATTCTGACCCAAATTCAACAGCTTCCGGGCTTGGCATGGGGCATCCAAGAATGAGAAGGTTTGAAAGGCGTGGTCAATCCAAGGTGCTTTCCAGGATCAAGAAAGGGTCACAGCCAGGCTGGCCACCTCTGCTGTACTGGAGATCTAAGTCCACTGCATAGCTGCACTTCAAAGAGTTACACAATGAGCATGAAACCCAACAGGAAAGAACTGGATATGGTCAGACTATTCGACACATTAAGCACACATTTTATAAAGGAAAGAACTGGAAGGCTGTCCACTGCTATGTTCAATGAAGTACCTGATGAATGCATGCTGTTTCAAGACTGTGGTCAGTACTGCAGCAAAACCTAGAACTTCAGACATTACCACCATTGAGGAGTTACTAAATGCGGCCACAGAGGAATTCACAGATAAAGATAAGGAAAATGAATGCAAAATTTACTACAGGTGCCAAGTAACCAAAGCAGGTTATATGTGCTAGCCACTGTTAAGAATCAGGTTTCCAGAGTTGGGAAGGTATAGAGTGCTTACCTAGCATGGCATGAAGCCATGGTTTCAATTCCTCAGTACCAATACACAGAAAAAGCCAGAAGTGGTGCTGTGGTTCAAGTGGCAGAATGCTAGTCTTGAGCAAGTGAAGCTCAGGGACAGTGCCCAGACCCTGAGTCCCAGCCCTAGGACTGGCAAAAAAAAAAAAAAATCAGGTTTCCAAACCTGATTCTTAGCTGCCTTGAAATGGTCACTAAGGCCTCTTGGTGGTCCCTGAGGAGTTCTGTGGTGACCAGCAATTGTCTGGCTGGAAGTGGGCCTGCCTAAGAGAATGGACAAGATGAAGGGCCCATGTGAGTCAGAACACTGCAGGCCTTGAAACCTGGACAAGCAAGCACGTAGTGAAGTGGAATTCATGTGTGCAGTTTTCAATATCAAAACATCTCAACAGGTTTAACCTTTAAGAGGTATCAGCTATTGTTAGGGTATCAAGCTACAGACACGTGGTTATAGAAGATTCATTTGACCACAAGTTCAGAGTTTATGAGGAGGGGGGAAAATTGGAAAAGAAAAGTCGCCCTTCAGAATCGCCATCCCGTGCTCAAGTGAAGGAAAAGGCAGGGAGTGGGGAAGAAAGACAGAGCAGAAAGACCAGCAAGCCTCATCCTAAAGCAGCATTCACCATAACCTCTAAGAGGCTAAGTATGGAACCCAAACAGGTTCTTAAGAACAAGAAAAAGAGAATGGAATTAGATCTAGAAACAACAGCACACAGATGCTACATAAGAGACAAACACGGAAGCTCAAGTCTTCAAAGTAATGCAGAAAAACAAAAAGCTATCTGTGATGAAGAAGGAGCAGACCAGGGTGAAAGGAGATTCTGTGTCTGTACCATACAGCTTCCCGTGATCTCCTGGAAAGGCAAAAGCTTTTTGCAGTGGGACCACTGCACAGTACATGACTGAGTGCAAGGACCAACCTTGGAGAAACAGTGGTCTAACACAGACGCAACACCCAAACCGGACAGAGGTCTCCCTCTGTTAGTTCTGCCAACCCCAGTGGCCCTACCAGGTCCTTCCCTTAAGTAAGAACGTGGAACCAGTCAACTCATCACAAGGCACCTTTGTTTAGTCAACCTTAAGTCACTTTCAAAACTGAGGCATCTTCCACACAGAGGACAGGAAAGGAGGAGCTATGGAACCACAAGCTGAAATGAAGCCTTCAAATTTTAGTGCTTTATAGCTTTTGTATAAAGGGGCCTGAACTTTGAACAGTTTCCTTTATTCCTGACAAAGAACAAATGGGATTTTTCAGTTACACGTCACTGTAGTGGTAGAATGATGCCAGAAAGTAGATGGCTCAAATCCTTGGTTTGAGGAGCCTGGAACACAGGTTCTTTGAACTCAGGATCCCCACCTCATCGTCTGCAGTGACAGGATTTATACGTTTATAGCAATATTCCCAGGTCTAAGCCCTGCGAATTCCTTCAGAGAGACTGGACAGCTGAATGCTGTAGGAAGCGTCTGGCTAGTGGGCAGCACTCACATTTGCACCGATGCCTTCACCACCTTCGGGCACTTTCGGGAAGGCGTCATAGAGAGAGGACACGTATGTTATTACTGACTTCTCATCAGGTGAAGAGACATCCACATCTAAAACAAGCAACACACAATTACTTCATGATGCCAAAGGTCAGACTGCCACGCCAGCCCAGACAAGCCAGAGACTCACCTTCAGGATCCAGAAGTCTTATTACACCAATTTTCTCAGCTACATAGAAAGCGTGCTCTAAATTTGCAAGGTTGCTTTGAACAGCAACAGTATTCATGTCTATCAGGTCCGGCCTAGGAAAGAGGTCACTGTGTTAATTATATTTCTTTGTGCAACTTTAAAATTTCATGTGATATTTATTTACATAACAATTTCTACAAGTATTAATACTAAGCCTGTGTCAAAAACTCCTCACACATTTCATATTGCTTGCATGTCTCAGAACCTTGGTTAGACCAGAGCGCGCCTGAGACTCCCATCTTCAGAACAAAGCGTTAAATGGAAGCAGAAACAAATGTGGTCACAAGGCTTTCAGAGGAGTAGTTCCCATCATCATGCCACTGGGTGAGAATCGACTCATCCGCTCATAAAGGAAGGCGCTTCATGAGCCCCAGGGCCCTCTGGTGCGCTCAAGGGATATCTCTGGGAACCACAATAGAGTGGAGGGCTGGGAGGAGCTGCAGGGGCCTGAACAACAAATCATCTCAAGTTCCATTTGAAGGCCATGCTCTTGAGAAACCCTGGAAGCAGATCCTTAGTCTTATAGAAAGATAAATGTCTCGGGCTGGGAAGGTGGCTCAGTGGTAGAGCGCTTGTCTTGCATGCCTGAGGCCCTGGGTTCGATTCCGCAGCACCACATAAGCAAAAAGAAAAAAAAAAGCCAGAAGTGGCACTGTGGCTCATGTGGTAGAGCGCTAGCCTTGAGCTGAAGAGCTGAGGGACAGCGCCCAGGCCCAGAGTTCAGGCCCCACGACCGGACCCAAAAAAAAAAAGAAAGAAAGAAGGAAAGATAAACGCTTGTGTTCTTGTTTGCATCTGGTGAGAAAGCAGACTCCTAAAGAATCTGCTCTTGCTTCTACAGCACCTTGAAATGTGGGTAGCCCTTTCTACACATTCATATCACAGGAAATCATTGTAACGTTCATTCCTTGATGGTTTTCATGTGCCATCAGTAAGACCACTAAAAAGTGACCCAACATCCACTGACAACAAGAGGCATAAAAACAACACTGCTAAATTCACAAGACTCGTGATGAAGGACCCGCCAAGGTCAATTACTTAACAGGTGTGAATAACAATCTAGACAGACAAATACCTAAAGTTTTTTCACTAAAAAGTGGCTTTGTTTCTATGAAATTCACATTCTGAAGGAATAAAAGCCAGCTTTTCTGAGTCTGTCAACTTGAGCACAAGAAACAGCATGTTAGGATGAGACCTTGCTATTAGCAAAGAAAGCAAACACTGAGTAATACCAGGGAGAATGAATGAAGTCATTGAAGAACCAAGTTTCTGCCTAAGGGAATAAAGCACAAAACCTCCTTGCGAGTGGCACAGTCGTCGCGGCCTGGAGGCAGCTGCATGGGATATGATGATCTCAGTCACTGCTTTCGCCATGATGCTTCCAGAGGGGCGTGCACAGTGCCGTCCTCGCACACTCAGCACTGCGACCGTGCACTGTGATGACGTCCCCGCACACACATGTAAGGCACTGCAGTCATGTACCGTAATGTCCCTGCACATGCAAGTAACTTGTTCCCCTTGGTTCCCACTCATCCTTTTAAAATGGTTGTAATGGGTTACTCAGTATGTGAAGGTGCATATAACGAATTTAATACTTTAATGGAACAAAAAGTGGAGAAGTTTTCCTCCACTAAAAGACTAGACAGACAACAATGGAAAGAAGGAAAACTTCAAAAGCCATGGCCAGGACTCTGGCGGCTTCCAGTCTGCCTACAGCTCCCAGCGGCCAAGGCACATCTTGTCCACCCCCTTTTTTCTTCTTCTCACTGGGACAGCACAGCCTTGGAAATCTTGAGTATTCTATGCATACTCCAGACATCTGTTTTCATATTAAAAGTTTCATGGAGGAGGGTGGGGTGATCAAGAAAGACGGGGTTATGGAGAAGGATGTGATGATGGAGAAAGATGGTGGTGATGGAGAAGGGTGGAGAGATGGGGGATGGGGTAATGGAGGAGGGCGGGGTGATCAAGGAGTATGGGGAGATGGAGGAGGGTGGGGAAATGGAGGAGGATCGATGATGGAAAAAGATGGTGGTGGTGCAGAAGGGTGGGGAAATGGGATGATGGAGAAGGATGATGAGATGGAGGAGGGTGGGGAGATGGAGGGGGTGGGGAAATGGAGGGGGATGAGGGATGGAAAAAGATGGTGGTGATAGAGAAGTATAGGGTGATGGTGGAGGGTGGGGTGATGGAGGAGGATGGGGTGATGGAGGAGGGTGGGGTGATGGGGGAGGGTGGGGTGATGGAGGGGGATGGGGGAGGGTGGGGTGATGGAGGAGGATGGGGTGATGGAGGAGGATGGAGTGATGGGGGAGGGTGGGGTGATGGAGGGGGATGGGTGATGGGGGAGGATGGGTGATGGGGGAGGATGGGGTGATGGAGGAGGATGGGGTGATGGAGGAGGATGGGGTGATGGAGGAGGGTGGGGTGATGGAGGAGGATGGGGAGATGGAGGTGGGTTGGGTAATGGAGGAGGATGGGGTGATGGAGGAGGACAGGTGATGGAGGAGGGTGGGGTGATGGAGGAGGATGGGGTGATGGAGGAGGATGGGGTGATGGAGGAGGGTGGGGTGATGGAGGAGGATGGGGTGATGGAGGAGGGTGGGGTGATGGAGGAGGGTGGGGTGATGGAGGAGGGTGGGGTGATGGGGGAGGGTGGGGTGATGGGGGAGGGTGGGGTGATGGAGGAGGGTGGGGTGATGGAGGAGGGTGGGGTGATGGGGGAGGGTGGGGTGATGGAGGAGGGTGGGGTGATGGAGGAGGGTGGGGTGATGGAGGAGGGTGGGGTGATGGGGGAGGGTGGGGTGATGGGGGAGGGTGGGGTGATGGAGGGGGATGGGGGAGGGTGGGGTGATGGAGGAGGATGGAGTGATGGGGGAGGGTGGGGTGATGGAGGGGGATGGGGGATGGGGGAGGATGGGTGATGGGGGAGGGTGGGGTGATGGAGGAGGATGGAGTGATGGGGGAGGGTGGGGTGATGGAGGGGGATGGGGGATGGGGGAGGATGGGTGATGGGGGAGGGTGGGGTGATGGAGGAGGGTGGGGTGATGGAGGAGGGTGGGGTGATGGGGGAGGGTGGGGTGATGGGGGAGGGTGGGGTGATGGAGGAGGGTGGGGTGATGGGGGAGGGTGGGGTGATGGGGGAGGGTGGGGTGATGGAGGGGGATGGGGGAGGGTGGGGTGATGGAGGAGGATGGGGTGATGGAGGAGGGTGGGGTGATGGAGGAGGATGGGGTGATGGAGGAGGATGGGGTGATGGAGGGGGATGGGGGAGGGTGGGGTGATGGGGGAGGGTGGGGTGATGGAGGAGGGTGGGGTGATGGGGGAGGGTGGGGTGATGGGGGAGGGTGGGGTGATGGAGGAGGGTGGGGTGATGGGGGAGGGTGGGGTGATGGGGGAGGGTGGGGTGATGGAGGGGGATGGGGGAGGGTGGGGTGATGGAGGAGGGTGGGGTGATGGGGGAGGGTGGGGTGATGGGGGAGGGTGGGGTGATGGGGGAGGGTGGGGTGATGGAGGAGGGTGGGGTGATGGGGGAGGGTGGGGTGATGGGGGAGGGTGGGGTGATGGAGGGGGATGGGGGAGGGTGGGGTGATGGAGGAGGATGGGGTGATGGAGGGGGATGGGGTGATGGAGGAGGGTGGGGTGATGGAGGAGGATGGGGTGATGGAGGAGGATGGGGTGATGGAGGAGGATGGGGTGATGGAGGAGGATGGGGTGATGGAGGAGGATGGGGTGATGGAGGAGGGTGGGGTGATGGAGGAGGATGGGGTGATGGAGGAGGGTGGGGTGATGGAGGAGGGTGGGGTGATGGGGGAGGGTGGGGTGATGGGGGAGGGTGGGGTGATGGAGGAGGGTGGGGTGATGGAGGAGGGTGGGGTGATGGGGGAGGGTGGGGTGATGGGGGAGGGTGGGGTGATGGGGGAGGGTGGGGTGATGGGGGAGGGTGGGGTGATGGAGGAGGGTGGGGGAGGGTGGGGTGATGGAGGAGGATGGGGTGATGGAGGGGGATGGGTGATGGGGGAGGGTGGGGTGATGGGGGAGGATGGGGTGATGGAGGAGGGTGGGGTGATGGAGGAGGGTGGGTGATGGCTGCACAGGTAAGTAACTTAACATCCTTCATACTACACTCAAAGTGAGTGAGATAATATACTCTATGTCAAGTGTACCTCAGTGACATTTCCTTTTAAGACAACTCCTATATATTCAAAAGGAAAGCTACTTGAGGAAGAAATAAGCCACAGAACTATAATCTGGCACCCTGAGATATAGCCCTAATCCCAATGACTTGGAGCATCCATCCTGAGATCTGTGACTCAATTATTCCATGAAAAGTAAAACTCAGGATTCACAAGAGTGAAAACAAAATCACCCGGGATTCCAATTTCACAAAGGGAGCCTTTGGAAATGTGTGTAATGATGGCATGGATGGCCCCGGCACAGGTTTGAAGAACGGAAATGATTTGCTCAGGAGAAGACTGAGGGGAAGCAGCTGTGAGAGTGGGTGGGTGTGCAAGCCGTGTACACAGGACACCAAAAGCATCACCTGCCACCAAACCAGTGCCAGGAAAGTGCAGTCCAAGGGGCCAAAACAAGCCTGGCTATGCTACTTCTACCTAATTCTTCGTCTCCACATTAGCAGATTCGCTATCACCAGCAGAGGCTCGGGAACACAGTCGTTGCATGAGGAGAGCTCAGAGCCCCAGGTGGGCCTTGGGAGATCAGGGGAAGCCTGGGGAAGAGCATGTGGGGAGATGCACAGCTCTGTGGTTGAGGACACAGGACAACAGGGTCCCAGAGAGGGCAAGGAGCCAGCAGTGAGAGGATGCGCTCAGGAGAAGATGATGGGGGCAGCTGGGGCCTGGGCAAGGCTGATTTTTATGGGCTTCTTAAAGCACTGAGGACCTTGTTCTAAGAGCAGTGGAAGGCCACTGAAGTGCAATAAGCAGGAGGAGAAGAGGTGAAATCAGATCTGGGATCAGATGGAGAAGCAAACTCAAGTGTTCCCACAGAGCCCAGCGGGGGGAGGCCAAGCGGCTCATGGAGGAAGCGACAT